TGTGGACGGCCATGTTTTGGTATTTTCGTAACCATAGCGGGCCAAAAGAGAAGTAAAGTGACACATTCTAATATGGTGCATTTCTTTAAAAAAGCCTCACCATTTCACTTATAATATTTAGGTAGGTATCCTGAAAATCTATTCAACGAGATGTCTGACATTTTTTCTGTTTGCACAGTGTATTTATGTTAGTTGGTATGTTAGAAGTGGCTATGCACGAAATACCTGTAAGATGATGGCTGTCTAATAAAGATGATCTCATTGTTGATTTGTTATATTTCAGCTGCTGGCAAATATATACTAAGATCACTTTTCTTAGGACCGTATCGTCAGTTGTTCCTACAGTTGTAGGACGCCTTTATGGCCTTCTTGATTTTCATAGTTTTCATCTCTTCCGTGTCAGCACTTTGCTTTGAGGTTATGTTACAAATATCTATTTGAGTCAAATTGATCATGGTTCTGATTTATATCATCTGTTATATAGCCTGAAATTGCGAACAATTCAAGAAGCAAGCATAGCCTGACAATAGGAGAGCGCTGAGGCGGATCTAGGAATACACCTGCGTTTCTGAAGGAGAGAAAATACTATGAAAATCAAGGAGGCCATAAAGGCGTCCTAGAATTGTGACGATATCGCCCTTAAAGTCAACAACATTCATCAAACAAGAATCTGCAAAAGGGGCGGAGCATATGGATCAACACCGGCAGGGTTTAAACGTAAAAAAACTATATGCCAAAAACAAACGAGAAAATGTTATCCTGTTGACTGGATAGCTGGTAGAGTGCAAATACAGGGTGGAGCAGAGATACACGCGAATTTCAAAACCGCATTGCTCGTGACTGTTACGCGGGAGCGGGACAGGGGGATAGTGGGGATAAGTAGCTTGGTGCTTGGAAATTTAGTCGCCATGGAGCGTTTCACCGGTGAGCAGCGTGCGATCTATGTTAAGGCTCATCTCAAAAATGGAGGTTCGTGCACTATTGCGCGGCGTCTGCTTCGCTCTGAGTTTAGTTTACACGATCTAAGTCAGGCCTGTCCAACATAATTTTGTGGACGGCCATGTTTAGTATTTTCGTAACCATAGCGGGCCAAAAGAAAAGTACAGTGACACATTCTAATATGGCGCATTTGTTTAAAAAAGCCTCACCATTTCACTTATAATATTTAGGTAGGTATCCTGAAAATCCATTCAACGAGATGTCTGACATTTTTTCTGTTTGCACAGTGTGTGGGTATCTTAGAAGTGGTTATGCGCAAAATACCTGTAAGATGATGGCTGTCTAATAAAGATGATCTCATTGTTGATTTGTTATATTTCAACTGCTGGCAAATATATACTAAGATCACTTTTCTTAGGACCGTATCGTCAGTTGTTCCTACAGTTGTAGGACGCCTTTATGGCCTTCTTGATTTTCATAGTTTTCGACTCTTCCGTGTCAGCACTTTGCTTTGAGGTTATGTTACAAATATCTATTTGAGTCAAATTGATCATGCTTCTGATTTATATCATATGTTATATAGCCTGAAATTGCGACCAATTCAAGAAGCAAGCATAGCCTGACAATAGGAGAGCGCTGAGGCGGATCTAGGAATACACCTGCGTTTCTGAAGGAGAGAAAATATTATGAAAATCAAGGAGGCCATAAAGGCGTCCTACAATTGTGACGATATCGCCCTTAAAGTCAACAACATTCATCAAACAAGAATCTGCAAAAGGGGCGGAGCATATGGATCAACACCGGCAGGGTTTAAACGTAAAAAAACTATATGCCAAAAACAAACGAGAAAATGTTATCCTGTTGACTGGATAGCTGGTAGAGTGCAAATACAGGGTGGAGCAGAGATACACGCGAATTTCAAAACCGCATTGCTCGTGACTGTTACGCGGGAGCAGGACAGGGGGATAGTGGGGATAAGTAGCTTGGTGCTCGGAAATTTAGTCGCCATGGAGCGTTTCACCGGTGAGCAGCGTGCGATCTATGTTAAGGCTCATCTCAAAAATGCAGGTTCGTGCACTATTGCGCGGCGTCTGCTTCGCTCTGAGTTTAGTTTACACGATCTAAGTCAGGCCTGTCCAACATAATTTTGTGGACGGCCATGTTTAGTATTTTCGTAACCATAGCGGGCCAAAAGAGAAGTAAAGTGACACATTCTAATATGGTGCATTTGTTTAAAAAAGCCTCACCATTTCACTTATAATATTTAGGTAGGTATCCTGAAAATCCATTCAACGAGATGTCTGACATTTTTTCTGTTTGCACAGTGTATTTATGTTAGTTGGTATCTTAGAAGCGTAAAGATGATCTCATTTTTGACTTGTTATATTTCAGCTGCTGGCAAATATATGTACTAACAAATAAAGAAATGTTTTGAAGAGCTAATTTAGTACGGTTTGCATGTTGGTTGGGTGTAATATAGTTTTTGTAAAATGTAATCAAGGGCCCATGCGGGTTGGGTGATGACCGGCATGGGTATCATGTAAAAAACCTATAAAACTTAAAAAAAACCTATAAGATGTCATCTTGCAAAGTAGGTAGTTTTTAGGACGCAAACAGTCATTCCACGTTTGCTCACTAGGTTCGTTGTGAACGTGTCCATCTAAGGAGGAATCACCCAACTAAGCTACACGCATTATTGGTTGCATATGTTTTGTGAGGCCAAATAATGGGCCTTGACTGTAGTTTTTATCTCTGAGAAGAAAGTTGGTGGAATAGAAAGATCGCATCAGGATGATTACGTGTATTGGTCTGCATGTATATAAAATCAGTGATAGACAGTACACTGTCGAATTACAAGCCATATACACACACACAGTTATTACATACAACGCGGGCGCAGTGATGATTTCCCGTAATTCTCCTAATTTAGGGTTGATTATTGATTGTACTTTACGGTTTAAGGAGCATGTTTCGTCTATCTTGAAAAAATGTTATGCAACTTTGAAGTGTTTTTATGTCAATCGCTCTATTTTGAATTTTAAAGTTAGAAAAAAGTTATGTGAGGCTATTATATTTCCAAGCTTATTTTACTGTAGCACTGTGTTCTATCATTGTCTTGATTCTATCACAAAAGCAAGACTCCAAAAACTCCAAAATACTTGTCGATTTGTAATTAATCTCAAGAAGTATGATCATGTTTCCTTAAAGAGATTTCAGCTTGGTTGGATGTGTATAGAAAATGCTTGCAAGTACCATATAGCAGTGTTTACACATAAGATCATATCTTCTCGATCCCCCTTGTATCTTTATGAGAAATTTGTTTTCAGACGAAATAATTCAGACATTGATTTCAGACACAAAAAAAGACTAGAGATCCCTATGTATAAAACAACTTTATTTCGTAGTTCATACACTTACAATGCTATCCTGATTTATAACGAATTAGATGACAATATAAAGGATTGGCCAGTAAGCAGATTTCGTAAGCATGAGAAACAGATTTATTTGTCATTGTAGTAATTGTGGAAAAGTTAGTTTTTAATTCTTATATTTTATTTTATTTTTACGTAATATATGTGTGTATATATTATGTATGTCAGGAAGCTATCAAGCTCATTGTTTTGAAGCGTCTTTTGCTGCTTGTCAAAGTTTCCTTTGATTAAGTATTTCAATTTATTATTTGGGTAGGTTAAGTAGAATAGCCAAGAGCTAGACTTCGCCTACGTAGAGGTCACATTATGTTGTAGTTTATATCATGTGACTAATAAAGACATTTTATTATTATTACCATTATTATAATACACAATCATCCAGATGCGATCTTGCTATTCAATCAACTTTCTTCTCAGAGATAAAAACTACAGGCAAGGACCATTTGGCCTCCCAAAACATATGCAACCAATAATGCGTGTAGTCTAATTGAGTGATTTCTCGTTAGATGGACGTTCACAACGATCCTAGTGAGCAAACGTGGAATGACTGTTTGCGCCCTAAAAACTATCTAGTTTGCAAGATGATATCTTATTGGTGTTTTTGACGTTTTATAGGTTTTTTACATGATACCCATGCCGGGCGCCGTATGTTGGACAGGCCTGATCTAAATCAATGTCCTGGTGAAGGTGTGATCAGGTCGTGGGTTAGAAACTACGAATCTAGCGGTTTGACACTGAATCAGAAACCTGCGGGGCGTCCAAGGTCAATACGAACCGAGGAAAATGTAAGTGAAGTTACGACGTCCGTACGACGCGATCCACAGCTATCATCTCGAAAGAGATCAGGTGATATAAACCGCAACTAGTGCAGGTATTGAAACCGCAGGATCACCGCCTACGCCCTGCGTTGTTGGAGCGCTTTCCAAGTTTGAACAACATTCTCTTTTCTGATACTCTTTTTCGTTTGAGTGGATTTGTCGACAAGCAAAATTACCGGTATTGGACCGCACAAAATCCCAAATTAAAACACCGACGATCTTTGCATTCGCGTACAGTTTGGGCTGAAGGAATCATCGGGCGCGATTTCTTCGAAAACGAGCAAGGCCTGACTGTAACAGTAAAGCAATGCTACGTAACTTTTGCTTTCCACAACTGCATAGTTTTAAAGCCTACCATATCAGAAGCCCAGATCTTACACCACTGGATTTTTTCTCTGGTCCGCTATTCAACGAGCTAGTTTTCAAGAATTTGAAGTCGAGATTCGAGGAGTGCGTACGTCTCGATGGCTCACATCTCAATGAGGTTGTTTCAAAAAAATTAAATTCCTGTGCCTACTTTAGAAAAAATATTAATTATCTTCCCTATGGTGTAGCTTGTTTCTATGATTTTTACTTAACTTAATGGCCCACCCTGTAGTTTATTCCGCGCTTGCTAAAAGTCAGCACGATGCGAGCGACAGCTAGTTTCTATTTGACATCTTGTAGAACCTACATAATGTCTTAAAACACCTACACAATGTCAAAAAAAACGACATAATGTCACTTGTCAAGTTAGGTAATGCCCCTGCCGTATCCCATTCCAAGATCAAGTGTTCGTATTGGGGGAAACCCTTATTAAAAATACCTCATCCTTAAAATATATTTATTGACGAAAATATACAATTTCACACTGCTGAATAAAAATAACAGTTTCAAATTTTCTTTATCATTACACATTTTATATTCAAATATTCATCTTCGGTATCTGTACCTCTTGAAGTGGAACCACAGCTGAAAAACATTGTTGTGAAACTGGCATCTGAATCCCCTTTTGTAGGAATATTCCCATTCTCTGTTGACGATCTTAAAAGCGATATCTTCGTAGGGGGGGCCGGCATGGAAACGCAAAAGTGCGAATTCCCTGTTTTCTGGACAAGCGGTCTAAAATTGAAAAAAAAGAAAATATTTGAAATGACAACGCGTCAAAAAGTGATAAAAATGACAGATAAATATATTAGTGAAGCCACAGAAAATGTTTAGTAACCCAAAGTGAAAGACAATATACAAAATCAAGAAATGAGTGTGTAGCCGTACTTAGGAGGGAAAAGAAAAAATACTATGATAAAAAGATCGATAGCAATAAAAATGATTTTAAAATGATCTGGAAAACATTAAAGAATATTGTTTCTTCTAATAGAAAGGCTGAAGTATCTGAAATGCGTTTCGAAGATCGGGTTGTGACAGAAAAATTAATTATATCAGAAAGAATGAACACTTATTTCATAGACAGTGTAAATCAAAGTGAAGAAGGTTGATGACGGTGATCCAAACTTATGTTCATTACAAGTAACTAAGTGACATATAAATCCGAACAACCAGTTTAAATGGTTTTATTTTACTAAAAGTTGGTGAATGTATTTATCTTACTGTAAATAACACGTGAAAAAATTTTCAGCCTTATCAGTTGGACATTCCGGTTTTTATACTGCGTTTTTTAATTTACTAACGCTCTAAAAATGAATATTTCAGCCGCAGTAAAGAATCAACGTTGGCGGATTTTGGTTCTTGACGTCCTTTACGATCGGTTACGATGCCTAGAGTACGGAGACCTGTACGATTTCGTCAACTTAGTGAGTTTGAAAGGGGCCGTATAGTGGGACTTCGGGAAGCTGGACTTTCTTTTCGGGCAACTGCAGTTAGAGTGCAAAGAAGTGTAGACACTGTGGTTAGGTGTTGTCAGGCATGGCTTCGAGAAGGCCGTACGCAAAGAGCAAGGGGCACTGGACGCCGCCGTAGAACAACAGACCGTGAAGATCGCCGCCTAAGATTATTGGCCTTAAGGGACCGTTTCTCCACTACCAGGTCCACTGCAAATGAATGGTTTGCAGAACACGGAAGACCTATTGGCATGCGAAGTGTTTACCGACGAATGAGAAGTTTTGGCTTGTTTTCATACCGGCCACACTGGGTCCTCCCTTTAACTCGAGAACACCGACGTAATCGCCTTGAGTGGTGCAGACAACGGTCACTCTGGGATCAGGAATGGAACAGTATTGTCTTTAGTGACGAGTCTCGATTTTGTTTAGGCATGCACGATGGTCGTGCCAGGGTTAGAAGGCGACGTGGTGAAAGGAGGAATCCACAGTTTTTTGTTGAAAGACATGTTGATCACACTGTTGGGGTTATGATTTGGGGTGCTATAGCTTATGGTTCCAGGTCACCTTTAATCTTCATCAGAGGTAACATGAACGCGCACCGTTATATCCACGAAGTTCTAGAACCCCATCTTTTACCCTATCTTGACACCCTGGCAGATCCAACTTTCCAACAAGATAATGCCCGACCACATGTTGCCAGAGTCACAATAGACTTCTTTCAACATAATGATGTCACATTGTTACCATGGCCACCAAGATCTCCCGACTTATCCCCAATTGAGCACGTGTGGGATATGATGGGTAGGAGATTGCTCAATTTGCAACGTCCTCCTCAGACTCTAGAAGCACTTCGAGAGGAGTTGGTGGTTGCCTGGAATGAGATACCACAGGAGGACATTGACCACCTGATCAGAAGCATGCCTAGGCGCGTTGGAGAATGCGTAGCACATCAGGGTGCATCCACACATTATTAAAGGTCAAAGGGCTTTAAAGCAGTGCAATCATTTTGAAATTTTTATCATTTACTTATTATGCTTCATTAAGTACTTATACAAAATTTTATTAAAATAAAACCATTTAAACTGGGTGTTCGGATTTATATGTCACTTAGTATATATCATAATTCATCAATAAACATCAACAATCTAAGAAAAGCTATATCGGAATTGAAAAGTGAAAATCACTCAAAAAATGTTATAAATGATTGTTTCAATATAATGGGAGAGAAATTATTATTATTGGTGAATCACTTCCCATCAAAATTAAAGTGTTCCACCATTACTCCTGTGCCAAAAGTTCATCATTCTGAGCTGTATACAAATATGTGATTAATGTCTTGTCAGACGTCGAGAAAAAATCATTGAATTCATTGAAGAAACCAAAATTTTGATAATTAACCAAGCTGGATTTAGAAAAAAAATTCTACAGAAGGAGCAATCCAAATGGTGGTGGAAGACTGGAGAAGACAAATAAATAAGAAAGAATGTATTGTAACAGTATTTTTCATGGCATTTGAGATAGATTGGGAAAAATTGTTAATGAAATTGCATCAATAGTGATATTAAAAAGATTATGAACTGGTTAAATGTCAATAAATTAAACACTAATAAAACACAATGTATGTCAATAGAGAAACATTTAGGTGGCAATACAATTAGGCTCATGATTAATGATGAAAAAATTGAGGCAGTCGAATCATTTAAATATCTTGGTATGTATGTGGATAGTAAACTACTGTTTCACGAGCATTATGAATATATTATTTAAAAAATATCAAAAAAATTCAATTACTTCTATAGAGTTTTCATAATCTTATTATGTATTACCCCTTTTTTATATAGGGTTGTCCAATAGGGACGCAGGAAAGTAAACGTCAATTTGACATAGACGCCATCTTTGTTTTCTGTCACCGACATGTCATTTTGTTAGTTGAATGTTTACCATTGATCGCTATGGAGTCGTATTTGATTGAAGACCGCATTAAAGTTATTCAAGAGCACTACAAAAATGGTGCAAAAATAAAAAACACGTTTCGCGCGCTTCGTGAACATTTCGGTCGCAACAACCGCCCAAACGAAACAACCATCGGTCGTCTGGTGCGTAAATTCGAGGCAACAGGTTCTGTGGCAAATCTGCCAGGCTCTGGCCGGCCAAGGAGCGTTCGCACACCGGAAAATATTGCTGTTGTGAAGGAGAGTGTGAGAGACGATCCGAAACAACAACGCGTCGATCCCAAGAATTGGGCATTTCGAGAACCAGTTTGCTCCGCATTCTCCACAAGGATTTGAACGTACACGCCTACAAGATCCAGTTGACGCAAGAGCTTCGTCGGGCCGACCATTTTTCGCGCCGAACGTTCTCAGATTGGCTCCTTGAACACCGCCAAATTGATGCCAATTTTTCATCAAAAATCATGTTCAGCGACGAAGCGCATTTCATTTTGAATGGGACGGTAAACAAGCAAAACTGCCGCATCTGGGCGACCGAAAATCCCCGTGAGTATCAAGAGCAGCCGATGCATCCTCAAAAAGTGACTGTGTGGTGTGCATTGTGGTCAAAAGGCATCATCGGAGCTTACTTTTTCGAAAATGCGGCCGGGGACGCCGTTACCGTCAATTCTGAGCGATATCACGTGATGATAGAGGACTATTTTTTGCCGCAACTTGAAGGAATGGATATGGACGATGTTTATTTTCAACAAGACGGTGCAACATGCCACACAACCAACGTCAATATCCATCGATTGCAGTCCTTCTTCGGTGATCGCGGGATTTCGCGTAGAGGAAATGTGCCATGGCCACCAAAATCGTGCGATTTGACTCCCTTGGACTTCTTTTTATGGGGATATTTGAAAAGCAAAGTCTACGTCAACAAACGAGCCACCCTCCAAGAACTCAAAAACAACATCATTGTCGAGATAAATGCCATAGAACCGACCATGTTGCAAAATGTCATTGAAAATTTCGACCATCGCGTGGACGTCTGTAAATCCAGTCGTGGTGAACATTTGAGCGATATTATTTTTCATACATAAATGGTATACATGAACCTTCAAAATAAAGTACCCAACTTGATTTGAATATCAATCTTTCTTGTCTTAATATGCGTTTACTTTCCTGCGTTCGTGTTGGACAGCCCCATATTATTCAATTCATCTTGTTTACAGCAAATGAAAGCATATTTTCAAAATTACAAAATCTACAAAATAAAGCTATGAGAATCATTTTAGATAAAAACAAATATGCTAGGATTAAGTGTCTGTTAGAAGAACTACAGTGGTTAAATGTGAAAAATTTCATATATTATTTAGTTCTCGTTTTCATATTGAAATTAAAAAATCATTTATTACCACCACATTTAGAAACGTTCACAAAATTAAATAGTCATTATCATAACTACGAAACTAGAGGCAGTATAGATTTTCATCTGTAAAATTGTAATAGTAGCATAACTAGAAAATCTATATTCCAGAAGGGAATATTTGAGGTGAAATTAATAAATCATTTTATGAATAATCAAAATGCATAATTATGTAATTTTAATAGACAAAAATGTAAAATTACAGAAAACGGATTGAAGAAAAACATGTAAGTGAATAATTGACATTGTAGCATTAATGCTAAACAAATCTTCAACAAATAAACAAAATGAATTAGTGTTAGTTCCAAGGACATTACTTATTTTCTGAAAGGCAAAATATGAATGAAACACAAATGCACTGTAATGTTTTCACTCGTCGCTGAAAATAAGAGAGACGCTTTTACAAGATTAATTTCGCACTTGAAGCTTTACTCACCAAGAAATACTCAGGCGTGCTGTTCTTATCGATCAAATCCGGATAGAAAATGTTGAACTTGTAACCTTGCACGATCTTCGGGGGCGGGTTGTCCATATCGTAATGCGTCTGATTGTACTTGTTCCACTCGAATCCGGTGTGGACTCGATTGAAGTACCTCGGTTTTCTCGGTCGGTACTTGTCGCTCCACAAGTACACTTGGTTATCCAAACTGTGCTCAACCGAGAACTGGGCTTCGTCGCCGTCCATGCCTTTACGAGCCTCTTTTTGCATCAGCTTTTCTTCTTTAGTAAGGACATTCTAAGAAGAAAAATATATATACAGCAGACGCTCGATAACGTAAACACGGGATAATGAAAACTTGCGCTAATGTAAACACAAACTTCGTTCTATAGGATCAAACGGAACGCGCGATAACGTAAACAATGTGTACGCTCGATAACGTAAACAACTCTCGACGCACGGAAACAGCGCGACGGTAAAATGATTTATGATGTAGAGGTATGGGATTCACCTCTGCGATAAAATACGACAAACTCGGTCAGTCGTATGATCGTTTAAGATACGTTTATACGTACGTATGTATTTCATTTTTGAACTTAAGTGAATACATTGCACGCGTTAATATATTTTACGACTATGGCATCCACATCCTATAAAAGAAACTGTTTAAAGTTGAGTGAGAAAGTGAAAATCATAGACGAAGTTGCACTAGGTGCGGGAGTGACACAGTTAGCAAAAAAATATGGAGTATCGAAAGCAACAATCTGTAAAATTAAGCGTATGAAAACTCAAATTTTACAAAGAACGTGCAATACATTTGGAGGTCCGGGAAAAAGAAAAACTTAAAAAAATGCGAAGGCACCTAAAATGGAAAATTCCCTGTATAAATGGTTTTTAAAACAACGGGAAAATCATGTCCCAGTTAGTGGCGAAGTACTTAAACAGAGAGCGAGACTGTTAAATGAAAAACTGAAAGAAACTGAAAATTTCGTAGCTAGTGATGGCTGGCTACAACAGTTTCAAAACAAGATATGGAATTCGACTGCTGCCTTATCTGGTGAAAAATTATCAGCACAACCACAATTAGTGCAACCATTCAAAGAAAAATTGATGGAAACAATTACCGAGCTAGATTTAAGAATGGAACAAATTTACAACGCAGATGAAAGTGGCCTTTATTGGAAAATGTTACCAGAGAAAACCTATGCTGCATCATTTGAAAAATCTACCCCGGGAAGAAAGCCGGAGAAACAACGAATAACGTTTCTAGCCTGCACTAATGCTAATGGTTCACACAAAATAAAGCCACTGGTAATTGGGAAAGCAAAAAATCCGCGCTCATTTAAAAATGTTAATATCCCTGTTGATTATGACTGTTCAAAAACCGCTTGGATGACTAGCAGTATATTCCTGAAATGGTTCCACAGGTGCTTTGTCCCTCAGGTATGACAATCAATTATCACAAATGCTCTATTCATAATTTGAAGATGTGTTTTCAATTTGTAGGTAAAAGGTTTCCTAAAACAACACAAGCTTCCAATAAAAGCGTTGTTACTATTGGATAATGCACCAAGTCATCCTCCCGAGCAACAACTGACGAGCAGGGATGGGTCAATTTTCGTTATGTACATGCCGCCCAACGTAACACCGTTAATTCAACCGATGGACCAGAATATAATAAGACTCACCAAACTATACCATAGGAAGTTTCTACTTTCGTCTGTCTTATCAAAGAATCCTGAAAACTTATCTGAGGCTTTAAAAAACGTAACATTACGAGAAGCTGTTTTAGATTTACATATGGCCAGGAATGAACTTAACCAGCAAACTATTCAAAAATGTTGGAACAATCTCTTTTGTACCAATAATGAAGATGACGATGTCCCCTTAAGCGTAATTAGATAACGTTTGCGATCCAATAATGATAATGTTATTAGTGTGTGATTGGATGTTGTTGATTTATTGAAAACAGTGACTCCCAACATTGTTTGTACTCCTGCTGATATTAATTTATGGAACGAAGATAAGCAGACGAATAATGCTGCTAAGGAGGAGGATATGGATAGTGAGGATGATGAGAACGATCCCATTGAAGTCAGAAGTGTAGTGACTGACGCGCAAGCTATATAAGTTTTTAACCAAGCTTTAGATTGGGCTGAAAGAAAAGAAGTTTCATACACGTATATTTTAGTTCTTCGAAAATTACGGGCGCAGGCATTCGAAGACAATACTAAGCGCAAATTTACGCAGACAAAGATTGTTAATTATTTTTCTTCTAATTAAAAAAATACTTATCGCTGTTAGAATAATTGTTTATTTTGTTATAAATAGTATGAATTTCTTTTAATAAATCAAATATTATATAAATCACGTTCGCTAATGTAAACATTTCGATAATGTGAACCACACTTGGATTAAATTAGTTTACATTATCGAGCGTCTGCTGTATTTGTTTTACCAAAAATAAGGTTCCACATTCCACCGCGGCCGCTACGAGGATCCCAAAGAAACTTTCTTAAGTTCAGAAGAAGATTAGATAAGATTTCATCAAGAAATTTAAAGACCATATCAGATTAGGAACAAATATTTGAATCGAAATTATGATTATCAAGTATTGTGGTGTACATACCTCAATTTTGGCGCCTTGTCCCACGACTTGCAGCCTAGCAAACTCCAAACGTTTCAAATCGTCCTCTTCAGTAGCCACTATCGTTCCGGGTTCAATATCTTCGGGTTTCAGCAATTTTGGACTATAACCGCCCGCTTCGTAAGCATCAAAACATTCTTTCAGCAAGGAACTAGCCGCGTCTTCTTCGGTTCTGCAAGTGATTGAGAAATAGCATGGACCTACTCACAACGTTGCAAGAAATCAAAAAGTCTGATTTTTTATTAAATCGTGATTCAAGTTAATAATTTTTCAGAAAATATCGAGACTGTTTAAAATATAATAATTTCAATAGTTACCTTTCATTGTCAGTATCATGATCTTCATCTGGAGATGAATCGCCGTGAGGTTTTGATCTCCCTGGTTCCTCGATTGACGTCGATGGCTCATTAGAAATCGGAGCCGTCACGGCTTGTTCTGCCTTCAACATTTCCAATTTGCGTTTCAAGTTCTCTTGGTGTCTGTCTCTGAGTCGGGCTCTCGCCATGTGAGCTGAAAAAAAAGGACGATATCAAAAATTCATAGATAAAAATTCCTTGAGATTTTTAGTGCAAGAGGAACACTTCCGCCTCTCAGTTTCCATCTTATTACCACTTAATAACAGTTAAGTTATTTATACCTTTCAATTGGCTTAGTAAAGATTCCCAATACCCAATATCGATGCCGTCTACTTTGCTACTGATTTTCTTCTCGATCTGTTTATGCAGCTCCTCCAGTTGCTTTGCAGTTTTACCCCTAAAAACTGTCGTCACATCCATTGCTACAGCTTGATGAATGCCTTCTCTCCTTCCCAATCCTGCGTCGATTTCAGCCTGCTTTTCTAGCTTGTACAGTTTTTGCAGTTCGTCTTCAACTATGACTGTTATGTCATTCCAGTAGTCCAGATTCTTGCCTTTCTCTAATTCTTTGTACACCTGCACAAAATGATCAAAATAATAAAAGGAAAAATATACAATTTTTGCTACATAGTTACACTTGAACCATACAAAAAGTCTTTAGGAAAAAATGGTTGACTTTTGACTCTGTATAAACTGAGTTGAAATTTGAGATTAATCTCTGCTATTGCTGTTCCACAATTCACAGTTTTGAAGGAAGGTATACCTGAGTAAATGATGTTTGCTATTAGTAAAACTTAATCTTACCTTGATATCTTCTACAAGGTCTTCTAAATCTTTGATTGGAAGTCCATTGAGGTATGTATAGGGCTCGTGCATTTCGACAGCATCCACTTCTTCTTCAGCACTAATATACTTGGCCAGCAAATCTATTGGCTTCGCTGAAAATGAATAAATAAAAAACATATATCCACAGGCCATCATTATTCATCAAGACAAATATCACCAAAAGGAAGATGTGGTGACCCAAAAATTGAAAGTGCAATCCTGCCTGTTTGTTGAAAAAAGACACATTTATTGTTCCCAGTTTTATAAATATTTACCTCTGCCATCCTGAATTCTAATATGTGACCTGAGCCTAGCCTGCTCCAAATGGAACTGATCCTCCTGCCTTTCCCATTCTTCAAACTGAGCTGCCTCTTTACTTCTTTGCAACATCTGTGTTTCTTCCTCCCTTTTTTGCCTCTCTAGCTCCCTTTCTTGCCTTCTTTTCTTTACCTATGAATATACGGTATTTGAAATTTTAATATTCCACCAAAAAAATATTAAACAAAACAATAGAAATAAACCATCCAAATAGTGTCAAATACCATGCTTTATTTAGAACATCTGATGAAATTGAAGTAACCATTAAAAAAGAGGCACAATATTTTCATACAGAAACAAACTAGAGTATAAAATTACTTTTTCCAGTTCTCTCTTATTTTCTTCTTGTTTCATCCTGTTTCTAGCCTCCAATTCTTCAGGACTAACTCCTACTAAGCCTTCTTTAGACAGCTTCTTGTTCCATACAAAAGTAGAAAGCAAATTTCCATCACCAAAAGGATTATCACTATTGGTGTAATGTAGATATTCATTATCCCAGCCCATCCTTTCTTTTCTTCTTCTTTCCTTAGCCTCTTTCTTCATTAATCTATAACATTAACTACATGAAGAGTTTGTTTGTTTGAGATTTATTTAGCATGACTGCTACCATTACATTCTTCTAAAAAACTAAATAATTATACAACATACACTGTCCATGAAATTTTCTTTTAAGCATCTTTAAATTAAAAGTAGACTTTATTTCATTATTTAGTTTATTATACTAAGTGACATATAAATCCGAACACCCAGTTTCAATGGTTTTATTTTAATAAAAGTTGGTGAATGTATTTATCTTACTGTAAATAACAAGTGAAAAAATGTTCAGCCTTATCAGTTGGACATTCCGGTTTTTATACTGCTTTTTTTTTAATTCACCAACGCTCTAAAAATGAATATTTCAGCCGCAGTAAAGAATCAACGTTGGCGAATTTTGGTTCTTGACATGCTTTACGATCGGTTACGATGCCTAGAGTACGGAGACCTGTACGATTTCGTCAACTTAGTGAGTTTGATAGGGGCCGTATAGTGGGACTTCGGGAAGCTGGACTTTCTTTTCGGGCAATTGCAGTTAGAGTGCAAAGAAGTGTAGACACTGTGGTTAGGTGTTGTCAGGCATGGCTTCGAGAAGGCCGTACGCAAAGAGCAAGGGGCACTGGACGCCGCCGTAGAACAACAGACCGTGAAGATCGCCGCCTAAGATTATTGGCCTTAAGGGACCGTTTCTCCACTACCAGGTCCATTGCAAATGAATGGTTTGCAGAACACAGAAGACCTATTGGCATGCGAAGTGTTTACTGACGAATGAGAAGTTTTGGCTTGTTTTCATACTGGCCACACTGGGTCCTCCCTTTAACTCGAGAACACCGACGTAATCGCCTTGAGTGGTGTAGACAACGGTCAGTCTGGGATCAGGAATGGAACAGTATCGTCTTTAGTGACGAGTCTCGATTTTGTTTAGGCATGCACGATGGTCGTGCCAGGGTTAGAAGGCGACGTGGTGAAAGCAGGAATCCACAGTTTTTTGTTGAAAGACATGTTCATCACACTGTTGGAGTTATGGTTTGGGGTGCTATAGCTTATGGTTCCAGGTCACCTTTAATCTTCATCAGAGGTAACATGAACGCGCAGCGTTATATCCACGAAGTTCTAGAACCCCATCTTTTACCCTATCTTGACACCCTGGCAGATCCAACTTTCCAACAAGATAATGCCCGACCACATGTTGCAAGAGTCACAACAGACTTCTTTCAACATAATGATGTCACATTGTTACCATGGCCACCAAGATCTCCCGACTTATCCCCAATTGAGCACGTGTGGGATATGATGGGTAGGAGATTGCTCAATTTGCAACGTCCTCCTCAGACTCTAGAAGCACTTCGAGAGGAGTTGGTGGTTGCCTGGAATGAGATACCACAGGAGAACATTGACCACCTGATCAGAAGCATGCCTAGGCGCGTTGGAGAATGCGTAGCACATCAGGGTGCATCCACACATTATTAAAGGTCAAAGGGCTTTTAAGCAATGCAATCATTTTGAAATTTTTATCATTTACTTATTATGCTTCATTAAGTACTTATACAAAATTTTATTAAAATAAAACCATTTAAATTGGGTGTTCGGATTTATATGTCACTTAGTATATATTCAAGTAATCCTTTCTGAAATAATGATTTGCTAGTTATATTACTATTGCAATTTTGTGAATAAAAATCTATATTTCCTCTTGTATAATTATTGTGGTAATGATTATACAATTCTATGTATGTAGTGTTCTAAATATTGTGGCAAAAGATGATTTATGATTTTAAAAATAAAAATAAGAACCAAATATGATGTGATATTTTTTATACTGAACCTCTGCAATTCTTGTAACATAGATTTTATTTTGGCACACTTATTTTTATTCAATATTGTTCTCATAGCTTTATTTTGCAGGACTTGTATTTTAAGAATACAGCTTTATTGGCAGTGAACAAAATATAGTTGAACAATATAATAATGATGAAATATTTAGCTGAATCGACATTTTCAATTATTTCACCATTTATCCTAACTGTGAAGGTATTTAGCTACTGGCATACATTTTCTTTTAGAAGTATTCAATTTTAGTTTATTTACATTTAACCAATTTATGATTTTTGCCAAGTTAGAATTTAGCATTTTTAAAGCAGTGTCTATATTTTCATCTGATATGTATATTAAAGTATAATCTGCAAATATCTGAATTTTATAATAATCTAAAATACTACAATGTCATTAATGTATAAAATACATAGTAGTGGGCCTAGTTTACTACCTTGTGGTATACCAATAAAAATATTTTTTGAGCTTGATAATTTAGACTTCTGTCAATTAAATAGTTTTGTAGAATTTTGAATGCAGATCCTTTAAATCCAAAGTGCAATTTTGTAAGAAATTTATAAATAACATAATAAAATAAAAGTAAAACAAAACATTGTGATTTTATATTAAGCTGGAACTCTGAGAGATGCATGATTTCCATAAAATGTAATACATTAAAAAAGTGGTGGTTTTGGACTGCCCAAATATATTCTAAACAGAATTTTTTAATTAAAGGGAAATCATTAATTTCATCTTATTTTTGACTTTAACAACTTTAGCTCCCATAAAGTGGTACAGTGCCATCATCCATTGAATCTACCCATTGCAATTATATGAATATACTAAAGACTAGTAAGACTACAGATTACAATTTTGTGCAAATCCTGCTGGTATGAAATAGAAGCGTATAATATTTTCAGAGCTATTTTACCTTCTAAGTCTTTTCTCCTCAGCTGTCTCAGTAGCTTTGACAATCTCCTTGTGTCTCTTCTTTTCCTCAGTGGCTTTGATGCGTTCTTCACTCAGTTTCTGAAGCAGCTTCACAGAATCGTCTGAAGAAGTGCTATCACTGCTTTTGCTCGAATCTGAACTGGAGCTCCTTCTATGTTTGTGCTTTTTGTGTTTACTGTGGCTCCTTTTCTTATGTTTTGTATATTTTTCTTTATCATGCTTGGATTTGTGGCTGCTTGAGCTGTGGGAGCGACGTTCGTGTTTCGTCTCTGACAACCTACGGACGGATTTTCAATTTGTAATTCAAAAGGCAATTTTCAAAATAAATTCTAGCAGCCTATGTTTGTATTCTTACCTTTGATCTCTGTCTCGTGGCATTTTGTTAGATTAATTCGCTAGTTATTCCGGTTTATAGATCTATCGATAATATTCCCCTTATATTTCTAGAATAATTATTTGTTTTTGTGTTCATATTCATTATTTTTGTTGGGAATTTTTGAGGTTTGTGCAATCATCCAGCTGCCATTGTCAAATTGACATAAAGGATAACATGGTTAGAATAAAAACTTCTCATTTACATCAACAGTACTTGATGCAAAATAGGCGTGGCTAATAATGTTTGTCCACGCCCTTTTTTCGATTGTTGAAAAAGAGGCGTGAATAAAGGCGAATCCGTGAAACCACGCCTTCTTTGCTAGTAGTCTATCTAAGATCAGTGCGCTGCGGAGGAAATTTGACACATTCCAAATTTAAAATACAAATAATAGATATGATATAGGTTATTTTGTTGAATAAAACATTTTTCTAAGGTTTATATCTTCAGAAGAAAGTATAATGGAGTATCGAGTTAGCAAAAAAGAACAATACTTTTTCCACAACAATTTAGTATGTGTAGTGAAAGCATTAGAGGGCGTTTACACAACAATTGATCTCAGGAATGACCGCTATGTTACTGGAAAAATTGTTAGGGTAGATGGTTGGATGAATGTCGATATGATAGATGCTGTTTTTTGTGATAATAGAGGTAATAGCATTTTTGTCTTGTTAAATATACTAAACGACTTTGGTGGAGTACAATGTTGCAAATACTAATGATCTTCTTTTCAGGGAGTTATAGGACGTTTTCAGATTTCTTCGTCAAATCTAGAAGCATCAGATACGTTCACATTCCAAAAGAATATCCAGCAATGGAGTTGATAGAGATGCATCTTGCAGGAATGAAGAGAGTGAAACCAAAGAAGAAACCAGTCACTTTCAAAAGAAGTAGGGCACAGAAATATCAGAAAGAGACGCTACAAGCCCTTGCTTCCGCAGAAGCCCAACCAGGAACGTCTAAAGATCCTTGAAAGAATGTTTCTGAAAATGTGATCATGTTATTATACAAATTCTGTTAAATGATGATTATATGGGTACTAGTAAAGATAATATGGCCATGGGATAGACATACGTAACAACGGAGTCATTTAGAACGTGAAAGCGGCCGTTTTCCTATCTTCATTTGCATATTTTTTAAATGTTGTGCAACGATTTTGAGAAATCGAGTCTAGTAGAGTATATTTCAATAGTTGTCTTGCGTGGTCATGTTATCTTTACTCGGGCCATTATGTGATCAGAGAAAAATCAAGGCTGTTACTAGGATTTTTGTGAAATATATAACTATTAAAAACCTGCAATGTTTTTGATTTGGAAATCGGAAAACGAAAAATACATGTCAGTTACGTCAAGTGAGCTACCAAAGACCACAAATGGAAAGAAGCTAAAGTGGACTGATTGCTAGCCTGGAAAAAGGGTGGTGTTATATTTCTTGCTTTGGAAAAAAGGCGTGTCTAATCTTATATGAACACGCCTCTTTTCCACTTGACTATAATGGAGTCGTAGCAGGTGATTTTAAATGGCGCCAAAAAAGTTTCGAATGTGACATTTATGGGTCGTAGGTTATTTGTTTGGATAATCATTTTTCGGGAACACAAAGAACATCTTATCTTAATGGAATATCAAAATGCCCTTGCCATCGTCTTATTCTCCAAACTATTTTTCCATAGACGATATCTTGGCAACGCAAGAGCGCACGCCTTGCAAGTTCTTACTGAATGTCCCAAAAATGGGTAAGTACTGCTTCCAATTTCAAAGTACCCCTGTATGCCTTTCTTCATAAAATATCTAATTGAATGTATGAAAACGTGTGTAGATTTTTTTGTATCCAAAACTATCACCTTAGGTCAACTCAATCCATCAGCTGCTGAACGAGACCTTAAAGCAGGGACCTCCTTGGAGCTTCCACTTTGGCTCGTGATAGAAATGTCCGCTGGACGACAGCCTATCATCACTCCAGAATTGCCGAAAGTATTCAGAGAATCTTACAGAGAGATACTAAAAGCTGATGCATGTGCAGTCGATCTGCACAAGTACAGCTTGCATTTTTATGAAGTCGGATCGTATGTGAAACACTTTGATCGCAGAGGAGATGTTCATGAGATTCTTTTGCATGTAAGCACTTTTCATTACAGCCTAGTCAGTTTCATCAGCGTTTAATATATTTTCCACAAAGCTTATGCTGAACATTATCACAGCACATAAGTTATTTCCTTAAAAGTGATAAAATCCCAAGTATTTCAATAATTATACAACTGGTTCCTATACAAATTATTAAAAGAAACTATATATTTTCGTGTTTTCATCCTTTAATAACTTTGGGAACATCCAGCAGCGAATATGTGGACTAAAATTTTTTTACTAGACTATGAGTTGCGTGTCTATTGGGACGAGAATGACGGCCAAAAATTGGCGTTAACGCTCTCAAAGTTGCAGTCACCGACTCAGAATTTCGGTAATAAATTTTAATTATTTGTAAGCGTTGTTCGTTCGTGTACGTCACCATGATGAAAATGTTTTCTTTACTGAATTGACAGTTCTGTAATTGGTTTAAAGATGCGTTCGCAGTGAAAATTCAAAGTTGTCAAGTCCCTGATAGAAAACCCGATGTTTTTCAAATGTTTCAGACGTTCAAGACGAGATATAGGCAGTTGATGGACTTGGCAGACAACAGTGTATCGGATCCCTCAGTTCAACATTCCTTGGACACGCTAGAAAAGAGAATTTTCGTTGCGTCTCATTCTGCAAGGACGAAACTGAACAGCTGGCTAATCAAGTCAGGATCACCTCTTGAAGCTGCAGAGTTGGTAGTCAACCACAAGAAGCGTAAGAGAGTTGATGTTGATGATATGAAATAAACATTTGTATGTTTTTGTTAACAATATTTTATACTACATGGCAGCATAACGAGCGACGATGTTATTGGCGTCTATCTCGCAGCGTGACGAGCTCTCAAGGTCACAAATTCGCATTCTAAGATGTCATAATCTCGTTAAAGAACGTGGATATGAAACTGCCGTGGAGAAAATTTTTAAGGCTTATTTGTGAAGACTCAAAATTGTCTTCACAACTTTTTTCTATATTCAATATTTATCGGACCATAACAAAAAAAAAAGTTGCTCAAAAATTGTTCAGTTCCTGTCTATAGTAAGCCCATCAAAAAAATGTATATGATTCAAAAACACAATCAATGTAAAAAATATATATTCACATTAAGTACAAATTCAATATTTCACGTATCAATGATTAATAAATTCAAAATGTAATGGCGGCATATTTTTGGGTTGTATATACATTTTTGTTTTGTCTAGCTCCAAATGATAACCAGACTTGATTGTTACTTTGTACATGGATAATATCGATATTATGGCTAATTTTATATTCAGTGTTGTTAGACGACGATCTAAAATTGAAAAATAAAAAATTATTCAAGAAACACAAACAGAATTTTCTTTTACCTATCTCCCTATGTGGTCCTATTCCGAAAGGCAGAAACAAAGTTTCCTTTACATTATCCTCTAGAAATCTATCTGGATCATATTGCTCTGGATCAACAAAGTTGTCTTGATGATTCTGAATCCCATAGATCGATAGCAAATACAAGATGTTTTTATTTTTGGGTAATCCCTCAATATCTTGCTCATTTTTTATTACTTCTACTGGGACTGGGGGCCATTTTCTCAGTGATTCTGCAAGCATATTTCATCAAATCTACTAGCCCAATTAAATAAAACCATTGATTAAGGCATACTACTCGCAACCTAATGCTATATTCACGTGTTCCAAAAAATTATCCAAGAGTTATTTACTACATACAGTAGCGGACAAAAGTTTGGAAACACATGTTAACATTATTATGAACTATTTCATTCCCTAAATTAAAATTGTGAAGGAACAGATAATATTAATATTAGAGTGTACCTTTGGCTCCCGTACTAATACAAGGTTTATCTTATAACATCAGCAAGAATAGAAAAAGTGAAAGAATTTTCAAAAGATTTAAGAGACAAAGTAATTGAATTATTTGGTGTCGAAATGTTGACATTTCTCAAAGATTGAAAATGAACAAAGGGACGATTTCGAAAATTATTGGTAACTATCAAGAATACAGATCAACAACCAATTATGTTTTGGATCGCTACAATTTTTTATATATTTATTTAAGTCAAAAAGAGTCTTATTGCCGCTTGATAACTACGTTTGATGCACAAAACGTAAAGAGGAGCAAATAACATTTATTGAAAAAAGAAAACTATAAACATTTTTTTGCCTAGAGTTTACAGACCTTTGACAACTGCATCCATATAAGGCAGACGATCCAAATATTCGAACTGCATTTTTCCCTCTTTTGCAAATAATCGCCTGATCTCGCCAACCAACTCTTCTTGTATTGTGTCATCCTGACTTAACTCATACAAACACAGAATCGTTGACAACGTAGAATAAAAGATATTTTCAATAAAAATTTCTGATAAATTTTCTATAGCTGTACTGTCAACTTTGCTGAGATTTTGCAGGATATCATTTTGTTTTATATCATTTTCCTTTCTGGATTCAAGTTCGCGCTGTATTGAAGCTTTTACATAGAAGTATGGGTTTTTATTGTTAAAGCAACTGTATGCAATGCTAAAGTATTTTTTGAAAGAAGAACTTGTTATCTCTTTAATGCTGTTTTGTAGATATTTCTCATCAACGATAAACCCAAAAAGCAATTCAGATGTATTTAAGAAGAATTTATAAAATATGTGACCATAAGGTTCTCTAGTCAGTAGTTGATTACACTCTTCAAAAATCGGGTCCATTTTTTCCAACGCGTTCTGTATGACATCTTTACTGATTAAATTATCAAATATTTCATCATTCTCTTTCTGATACAATATGAGCCTCTCGATCAATGCTTGATCAGAAATCAGCATGCTGGGCTTAAAAAATAAATACAGCCCACCATATTCCAGCTTTTTCCTTCTGAGTCTGTTGTAATGTTTCCTCAGAAACATATACCAACTATCATTGTGAAAAATTACATCGCTCAAGTTGCCAAATGGCGCAGTTGGTGTTGCACAATCTTTGATTCTTATTTTACCAAAGAAGGTATAAGCGTGAAGAATATACAAGAATAAAAATAAGACAAAGAACGTTATTGATACTAGGGCCGTGAAGAATGTCTTTTCATCTATGTAGTTTGCTATTCTTTCAAGTATTCCATGTTGAGATGCTGAGCAGGTTGACATTGTTGTGTAAAATGAATACCTGTAAAAAAAAACATCTAGGGTGGATGTCGATCGTCAGTTTGTTGGTTTTAGTGTATGTTACTTGTAAGCTTATTAATCTTTCTTACTACACAAAGCGAATGGATATAATTTTATGTATAAGGTACTCAGTACATACCTTTGTTAATTTCAAAAATCCATATGATTTTCCACAAATACTGAAAACATCATTTCGTTGACCTAGTATTCCAACGCAAAATCATGTGATAATGATCACAAACTGTTATTGCTGTTTTCAGCAATTTCAACTTTTGCACTATATAAACAAACAAAACGAGTAATGTGTAATAATTACCACCTGTTCCCATTATCTGTTGATCTACTGGTGGGAGGATCGTAAGTAGTAAAACCACACCCAGTAGCACCTAAAACTACACTGTGTTGTAAGTCCACGCCTCTTTTTCAAAGAAAATGGCGGCTTAGATTACTTGTCTGTGCTATTTACTTGGTGCTTAGTCTGTTTTAACACTTGTTCCATGCTTGCCTTGACACGTGAAAAATTGACAGTGACAGAAAAATATAACCTAGAATTTTATTCCAAATTTTTCTAAAATAATCATAATGTATTTTTACTAAAAAAATAGATGCAATAACTGGTCGAATATGGCCGATAAAGCTGAAAAGGACCAAGAAAAACCACCAGAAATTGTCTCTGACCAAGAAAAAGATTTAGCCCAAAATGCCTTAGCGGAATTCAAGAAGTAGCTATTTTCGTTAAAGTATTGGTAGGTATACCTATAATATCTTATATTTTTCCAGAAAGAATTATGCTGCTTGCCTCCAGTGTATTAATAAGTTAGAAAATCGTTCGAATGATCTGCGAGTAGCTCATAATAAAGCAGTGGCAGAATTTTTCAAAAGCGATTGTAAAAAGACTGAACAGTTTCAGAAAAACCTTACAGCAATTTGTAATCAGGTAATACCTACCACAAGGCATACAAACTTTAAATTACAAACCCATTATACAAACTTTCAGTTTTTGGTGCGAGCTGAAAAACTTGATGATGTGGAACATAGTATCATCCAGTTTAACCAGGCTGTTATTTTATATCACCAAAAACAGTATACTGCAGCCCAAAGAATCATGGATAGGGTGTGCAAATTCATTGAACCTATGGGTAAGAAAATATTTAAAAACTTTTTTCAAAAAATACAGCATCAATTTCTGAGTCTACCGCTACCCTTTTTTAGAGGAGTCTCTTGCAAAACAAGTGAGCCTTTTGGCTATAGAACTGCAGTTATGCTTCAGAGAGCCAGAGAAAGCATTGACGCTCATAAATTACTTAGAAAATAACTTGATGTATGGTGGAAGCATTCCCCTAAAAAGCTTTGATAAGGCAGGAAAAGAAAAAAAGGTACAACTTCCTCCTCCAAAACCATTATCAGAAGAATTTGAAAAAAAACTATTGAGGTACAAACTAAGGTGCTATATAATCAACCATTCTTTAAATACAGCCTTTAAAGAAGTGCAAGTTTTAATGAAGGATAAGTCTGTAAGTACCATGAATACCTACATCACAAGGAGTGTTATCATGATTTTTTTCAGAATATAGATGCCTTATTTTTGGCTGCAAATATAGAATATTTGAAAGGCAATGTCAGGGAATCTATGAAAATTCTATCCTCAATTCCTAATGATGCATTACGGTTCAGGTAAAATCATTCACAAAATTTAATTTCAAAATATATCGTTCACTTTTTAGCGACTGTGGAGAGTCCTCCACTATTATGTTCTACAATAACATGGGTGTCATACACCATGCTATTGGAAAACCTAACTTAGCCTGTCACTATTTTCAAATGGCTTTAAAGGAAGATATAAATCTATGTCAGAGTAATTCAAAAAAAGGGAATGGTGAGTTTGTTTTTTGTAATTTTTGAAAAAGTCTGATATTTATTGCTTATTTATGTATGAATTTTTTATAGAGGAAAAGCCATTACATATGTTGGGCGGCTCAAGGTATCATGAATTGATGTACAACTTAGGTATTTCCTTGTTACATGCTCATAAGCCTGTTCAAGCATTTGACTGTTTAATTGTTGCTGTCAGAAGGTATCATAGAAACTCTCGATTATGGATGAGAATAGCTGAATGCTGTATCATGGTTCATAAGGAGGTGGGTTTTTAAAAAAAAATACAAAAGATACATATTTTCCATACTTATGCCTCCATGTCTCAATTTATGCTTTTGATGAAGCTCTGCAACCAATTGTTATACAAATTCATCCTGACAAATTTTTGTGTAATTACAGTCAAATGAAGTAGATTTTGAAAAACAGAAGAATTTAATAGTTGATATAGTTGGTACTAAGGATAAGCAGAAGGTTATACTCACTACTAATTTGTCAAGTGATAAAAAATATAGGTGAGTTTGTACTGAAATAGTTTCTTAAACTACAATGTTGGTCTCACAATAAGTGTGGGTAAAAATTAGTGCTTTTCTAGTTTAAAAGTTTCTCCTGGTTTTGAAGTTTCACCATGCAAAATTTTTATCGTCTTTTAGGTCTGAAAAATATTCCAATTTTTTTTTCTCTAATATTTAAGACCTACTCAAAGGAAGCGTCAATTAGATTATTGCCGATTTACGAGATTTTCTGAAAATTTCCTTCTATATTATATGCCCCAAAGGTTTACTACGTAAAATTGTTATCGCATTTCCTCGTGGATTTCTAGAAATTTCAAAGCTCACGAAGCTTTATTTGAATTAGAAAACTAGGCTCTTTCGTTACCACCGCCCAAACTCGGTGAAATCTGATATCAAATTCGCGATCTACGCTTTAGAATAAACCTATAGACGGGTTTCTGTCTAATTGCTTTTTTTGATGCGTACCTATTGGGGCATTACACTGGATGACCGAAAATAAATACGTTAGGAACTTTTAAATTAACGAAGTGTTGTTTTTTCCTCCCAATACGTAAAATGTATTTGTTATTTTAATTGCAGCAGCGAAAGCCAATCGTACGCCGTCCCCGTGCCCTCTCTGGAATTCGCCTCGTTGTGCCTGCGCAACGCCCTCCTATTGGTCCCTCCCTCCTCGGACTCTGCCTCCACTCCGGACCCTCTCTTCCTCATCCCCGGAGTCACGCCTCCCGCCCCACCACCACCGCCTAGCGCCTCCCCCTCTAATCCGTTGGACGGTCGAGAGGTGACGCAACTGCGCAACGCGATCCTGATCGCCGCGGCGTACGTGTCGCTGTGCTTGGGCGATTACGTGATCGCTTTGGAGCATGCACAGGAGGTGTTGGATGGCGAGAGCGCGTCGGATGTGCACAGGTACGATGATTTTTGTATATACGGGATGTTTCAGAAAGATATTTGTAGGGTGGAAAGTACGTCCAAAAAAGTGTCTATAAATACGGGCTCAGAGATGCTCCATTACCGAGATACAGAATGATGAACTTTTATTTACTAAATTTAAAAAAATATAAATGATGGCAAAAAAATATAAGATATGACTCCTTAGCTCATTTTAGGAAGAACATTTTATATGAACATGAACATTAACTTTTGAGCTTCGGGTGTTAAATTTTAAGAAAAGTGTGACTTTATTTCTCACAGAGAACTCGTAGTAACGAAATTTAATTTTTCTACACTTTTAGGCTATTAGCGCATTTATATGCCGCGGAAGCTTTGATATTAATGGACAAAATAACAGACGCAATTGAACATTTGAATCCAGAAAACATTAAAAGCTTGTCATTTGATCTGCCATCTACTCTTGACAAATCGGAAAAAGTTCAACTCAGAACTAACCCACCACCAAGTAGGTATAATTTATACACACAATAAATGTTCAACGTTGGAACGAGAACTCTGACTTTAGTGATGGTTTTCCTTTGTTTTTTACACGATAATAAGTTTCTTGTTCTGTACTTCCACGTGGCGTATGTCTGAAGATAATTATGAAATTCAAATTTCAGAGTGGTTTCCGAACAATCTGACATCAGCGCACGTAGTTATGCAATACAACATGGCCGTGGCAAAGACAATACGTGGTCAGTTGGACCAAGCTTCTGCTATTTTGAAGCAGATCTGGCAACAAAGGAGCTCCGTGTGTAGAGTACCTTCGCATATTGTGATGCTATTCATTTATATTGAACTACAATTGGGTAAGTGGAAAACTTGTCAACCGTATCTAGTCGCAATTAGCACAATATGTTTGTCCTTTATAAATGTGACTCTTAAAAATATACCTTGAAAAGAGAGTCTTTGGTTCTGCATCTGTCTCATAGATCGCGGTAGCATCTCCCAGACCTGTGGCATTTAATTTTTTGGGTTTCGCCAGGATGTGAAAACGGCCTTATTGATTTTCAGGTAATCAATTTTTTTTTACTTACAGGGCATACGGACGTAGCTAAAAATCTAATACGACAGTACTCTGTGCAGCAACAGCGACTAACTAGTTGACAAACACTGAGTTGTGGCATCTGTCAAAATAACCACAAAATGTCACAAACGTGGATCGTGTGAACAAGAATCGAACGTACTAATGACGATTTTTCGATATAAAATGTAATTTTATATATGATTTTCAGATTATTGATTTCGGGCGTTTGATTAAATATGTTATAGTTTGACATTGAATAAAACTCGTATGCTAGGTGTGTCAATATGGTTTAAATCACCGTTTCCCAAGTTGTGGTCTGAGGATCGCACAATAATAAATAAATGTCAAAAAGTCTCGTAATTGCTACTGTTGCCTTTTTAACATGGTGAACGTGTTGGAAATATTCCCCCCTCCCTCCATTCTTCACTTAGCAATCCGCGGCACTCACCCCAAGACTGAAGTTTCACGAGGAGTTCTTCAAAATTGTGGTTGATTTGCTATCTGCCCGCAGTTAAAAAAAGGTTGGGAAACGCTGGTTTAGATGACAGAAATGTTAATGATATCATGATTTGAATTAATTTTAAATATTGGGTGCATTTCTTGACAACTTAGGGCCATCTACACTCTTAAGGTTTATCATGAAAATGATATAGTATTTATAGGAAAAATCAATTGAAATGAGTATAATATTTTATTCAACGCCCCTGTATGATAAATACTTTCAAACTTTATTCATTATAAAATCGGGGTTGAATAAGGTATGTTTTGTCTTTATACTGTAATTTATTTGTGTATGATATTAATTACATGTTATGGTTGTTGAAAAATAAAACATCATCGTAAAAATATGCGTTTTTATTTTTTAAACTTCAATCAAACTTCTTCATCGGTACTATATGTGTTTGATTTTATTTTTATATATTGGTGCTTTCGACCTTTCGGCACACATTTTCTGTTCTTACTGTTTTCAAGGAGATAGTTGTATTAAAATTATTATATAGGTTACTATTCCATGAATCATCTAAAAAAGAATAAAAAAAATATGAGCGTCTTTCAGAGCACTTTCTGTGGAAATAGAAACGTTACTGTCGATTTGGCGTGTTGTAATTTGAAGAAAATTTTGAAGTTACTAATATCTTGACGCTCCGTCTCAGAAAAAAATGAAATTTGATTTTTTACAGCCCATAATTTAAAAAGTACACGACTTAGATTTTTATATTTTTCTGATAACTATTATGACCTGCATGGGTATCACGTATCTTGCCGATTTTTTTTGACATTATGTAGGTTATTCTACAAGATGTTAACTTAGCACTTAATTGTACGTGTTGCATAGACATCATGAGGCTTGTTATCAATCTTTGGCTTTGATGTAATGTAAAATCTGCTTCTAAGATGGCATTACTTCTTATCCATTCTGGAAATTACATATACAAATTTGCTGAATTTCAAAAATGAGAGAGATAAGAAATAATTATATTCACTGTACACTGTCGAATTACAATCCATATACATGCTAACAGTAATTAAACACAACGCGGGCGCGTTGATCATTTCCCGTAATTCTCCTCAGTTTTTTGTAATTCATAACTTTGAACATAACCTCTCTTCAGAAAGCACAACATATAAATAACCCGTCATATTCAGTAATGATTTTCTCACACAGCAAATATCACTGGTTTTATACACATACAGACCAATACACATAATCATCCAGATGCGATCTTGCTATTCAACCAACTTTCTTCTCAGAGATAAAAACTACAGACCCGGAACACTCAGCCTCACAAAGCTATGCAACCAATAATGCGTAGTTTAGTTGAGTGATTCCTCCACAGATGGACGTTCACAACGATCCTAGTGAGCAAACGTGGAATGACTGTTTGCGCCCTAAAAACTACCTAGTCTGCAAGTTGACATCTTATAGGTTTTTTACATGATACCCGCGCCGCACACATTGTCTAAATGGAAACGAAGACAATTAATAGGTACGCGTAAACGCCAATCACTGTTGTCGCTTTCTATGAACAAATTCGTGATCTCCGCACCCGATTTACTCCAGAAACGTGTTTCTGTCGAGAAACCTCCCTAAACAGAATGCTTACTTACCGAGTACAGCAGTTTGTTATTGACCGTAAAAAACCCTGCCGCTTCAATTTCACCTTTGCTGTTAAGCATGTGTAAAGAAATCACTTCCAGTTCATCCATAATACGTATTTCTTGAGTGTCTACTTTGTAGATGGCCAGACCTGTTGATCGTATCTAAAAACAACGTAACATTTCCAAAATTGTGTATAAAACAACACAAGTTACCAAGATACAGTGTGTTGAAGTTTGAATATCGAAAATATTGACTTAAATTTTTGTACATGTCCCAGTGAACATAGTGACGTCAAAATGTCAGCATTTTCAGGGTATTACTGACGTACACCGACCACCAAAAATGACCTCATCATGACGTATGTCGTATAAAGGACCAAATACAAAGTCGGTATGACGTCTATCAGGTCGATATGACGTACAGTCGCTCGCAAAGTAATCGCTCGGTGTGTCGGAATGCTCCTGAAAAATCGAGGATGTGACAACGACGCCTCACAAGCAGTGCAACAAGTGTCAATTTATTCAAGAATTAGCTGGATAAGGAACTAGAAGACAGGGCGGCACGTTTTGTGCATTATCGAGCATAAAAAAGACTAGACAACAGTGTCATCGGACGTTTCCGCATACTGTTGTAGTAATAATAATACTAACAGGCAATAAATGCAACAATGTTTGTTCCTTATACTCTAGGCGCTGAAGAAAGAAACTAAACCCAAACAAATACACGCATATTGCTCGTGAGTGAGTGTTTAGGCGCAGGAGACATTACAGGACCGCATCAAGGTATTATGGGTAGTCATCAAAAATTTCATACAAGATAATTATTATCTTTTACAGTAAATTTCAGTTAGAGATTCACAAATGAGTTAACTACACTTTTTAGTTATTAGTAAGTAAGCTGCGCGCACTCATTCAGAAGAGGAACTTGAATCTTCTGAATCGTTTAAATGAATTATTAGAGGTTCAATTTGGGTATCGATGACATTGTCCAAATCCCACATTTTGACCTCAACCTTCTCCCGAACGTGGCGGATACAGTTTTTCCATTCCTCTGCCGTAACTCTATTGACTGCGATGTGAAAGAGATTTTTAACATCAGAAAATTTATAAGTATTATTATTCGACGCCACGTATTGCTTTATGTTGGCCCAAATCAGCTCGATAGGGTTCAGCTCACAATGGTAGGGTGGCAGTCTCAAGACAGTTTTATTTTGTTTTTTGGCCATTTCGTCGATCATTTTAAAATCGTATTTGTATTTATGTCTATTGACTATACTTATCAATTCACCCTTGACCATTGTTTCATCAAAATCGATCTGTTTTGAGGCCAGCCATTGTTGTATGTTTGCTTTTTTAGTTGCCATTGTGGGAATTTTTTCTATTTTTCTAGAATGGTACGGGGCATTATCCAGTACAATAACAGCGTTATTCTCCAGCTTTAGTAACATTTTGGAGAACCTTTTTTCAAAGGAATTGCCGTCCATCTCCTCATGATAGTCCCCTGTCTTTTTTGATTCAAAGGCCCACAGTGCTTCGGGAACAAAGCCGTCTTCACTACCTACGTGACAAATGATCAGCCGTTTGCCTTTTCCTGGAAATAAATTATTCCTTACACTATGGATTGATTAAATTTGAAGGAATGAGGCAATTGAGTTCATTTAGCTGAATTTAAGAGTCACGGAATGCTGATCAAAAACTGAAAAACGTAGAAAATTGAAGTTTGCAACTTCTCAAAACCCATTCAAAGCAAATTGACTGCACCCAAAAATGATAATAAATTTCAAAATAACGCTTAAAAGAGGGTCGAAGTTTTTTTTCTAATGACTACACTGCGAATGCACCATTTTTGGAGAATATCACACATTATCTGCTATCACAGCATATTATTTGCCCGAATTTATCAAAATTAAATTGCCGGATAGATGAAGGAGCTTACCTGCAGGATTTTGCAATCCAGCCGAAAGACCGTCTAGAAAAGCCTGCCTTGATGATGTTACTGATTTGTCGACCCAAACTTTCGCTTGAGTATGTCCAGCATTCACCCACGTTTCGTCCAAATAGTAAATTTTTCTTTTTTCATCGCGAAACTTCCGAATCTTCCTAAGGTATTCTCTTCTCCACACAACAATTTCTTCTTTCTCTATTAACATACTGTTTCTTCCCCGTTTCAAGAATCGAAAATTAAGTTCCTTCAAAAGTTTTCGGAATGTGGTTCTTTTAAATGATGGAAGATCCTCATCAGCATTAACTAATCTTAATATCTCATCTACTGTAGGTATCTCATTTCGGAAGAAAAAATTATGCACTTTCCTCCTGATGGCAGTTCTGTCAAAGTCATCTACTCCGTCCGTTATCCTTTTTCTTGCAGGATACGGTTTTGGCTCAGAAAGTGAGTGAGTGCTCCTATATTCCTTAATGATCCTATAAACACTGGACCGACATACTCCAGAAATATGTGCTACCTTACATATAACTTCGTCCACGAACAAATCGGGTTTTTCTTGAATTTGGTTTTTGTATATATTTAATATTATTTGTTTTTCATTTGCACTTAAATGTAGCTTCTTAGCCCTTTTTTTGGGTGGGGTTGCGCTGATGTCAACCACTTCGTCGGCTGTATCTGTGTCAGACATCGTATCTTAGGCAATATATAAACAAAACGTTCCACTCGCGAAAAACGAGTATACGCTACTGAATGCGTAATGCGTATGCAATGCAATCCTGTGCGTGAATTAACTGTTAGATGCCTGTCGTGTCATCTACAATCACGTTTACAAGTCCAAACCTGTGCAGATTCGTAGAGCGCCGACGACTGCTAGTGACCTTGAATTTGTCTGTAGATCGATGTTACTCCAGTCAATTTAGGTTCAAAGTGGATGTTTTCTAAACCAATTTGTTGTTCCTACATCAAAAATATATCGATGATGTTTTGTACTGGGAGCTCATGAAAGATCAAGGTAACTTATTTTAACAGTCATCCTTTTTCTAGTCTCAAGATGACACGAAAAAGGGTCTGTGGATTCACTAGAAATACACTGCCGAGGATGTTTAGACCTAAAGTGACTGGAGTATATCCGTGGATGCTTTCGAGGGATCTGTTCACGTGCTGATCACTGTTTACGTTTAATGTCTTTCTTCAGCGCCCAGAGTTTAGACTTCAGCAGTGATGTAAAAATTGGGAAATGTTGATCACTAACGTTTTTTAAGAGTCTATCGAACTTTTGAATAAGGTATCCTGAGAAAAATTCCTACGGGCGCCCGTGTTCACCGTAGCTTTATTTGAACAATATTCATGTTTTGTACTTAGTAGCCTAAAAATTCACAACATCCGGTATTTTACCTTTACCACTTTCCAAAAAGGTCCAAAAGAATTAAAAATAACATATTTACAAATAAACTATATTTTTGAGCCAATTTTCATCTTATCCTATCGCGTCTACGAACAACACCTTTTCTACTGTAGAAATACTTTCACATTTTTTTTATCACCGTATATAAAAATGTACAGAATTTCATCATTTACGACTTGCCAAAGAGGTCCAAATGAATTTAGTGCATAGAAAATTACGAATTTGCAAGAAACTAGTTTTGTGCGAATTTTCATCTTATTATCTGACTTTCCTAAGTAGAAATATCATTTTTTTATTTAAACTAATATAATCCGTTTACCTCTTCAGAAACTCTATCAGCTGTACAACAAAGGAAGAAACATTTCACGGAAGCATTGATTGTCCTAAAAGTGGTCGTACCCCAACTTTTATCATCCTCTATGGGACAGTAAATCCCCATTACGATCTCGGTGAAAAGAATACCAAACTGCACTAGAAACAGCTTCCCATAGCAGTTGTTTATTTCTCCAACAATGTCGTCTATCAGGCACCACAATCTTTTAAACTGATTTAGTTCAACTTTGGTAACAGTTCTGCGACCCAATTTAAACTTTAGCATCTTGTTCAGAACGACAAGCCTGGTTTTAAGGAAGTATATGATAACAAAAAACTCCAAATAAATAGCTTCTATCAGGCTGAACTCCATGCTCCAAATTATTATCCTGTTACATAAATCTCCTGACGGGACAAATGGTGCAAGTTCCAACGTCACAACTATCACATTTGCCACTAGTTTGGCTATTGTTATCACTATCATACTTTTAACAAATATCTTGGCTTCATTTCCATATGTGCCTCCCAAAGTTCTGCAGAGACACCATAAGATTCAGTCTCTTTTTATAGTGTACACAGTTGAAAATAAACTGAGTACTGACGTAGATCAGGCTCAAAAAACTGTATATCAGATACGCCACGGTGTAGACGTCGTTGTGGGGCTCGAAGCTTTCTGACAGCAGCAGAGTTTTGGAAAATGTGTAATAGTAAACACTCATAGCAATTGTACAGTAGCTGTACCAGAATCTTGAGATTTTCGGGATGTCATTTTGGAATGACACCGCGGAAGTTCCACAGGCGTTACAGAGATTATATAACAAGGAAAAAGTGCCTTTGAAGTGCTTAGACGCCATCATAAAAATAAAATGCTTGTAAGGGTTTTGCCTTTAATAATGAAAGCGGAGCGAATACGTAAATATATGTTTATTGATTTTCGTATCGTAAATATTGATATTTCATTTTGTATACACAACTTTCTTATGAATTGTACTGGCTGTTCTCATATAAAACATTTTTTTTATTTGCCCAATAATGTTTCTTTCATCATGCAACTACAATCAATTTTAGAGTTTATTCGGTGTTTTATTGGTCGAATAAGAATTACGTTTTGGAATGAACATGGTTTCCCTATTAGCTTTCACAGTTTGACCGAATCGCAATAATATTTATTTTTTGCGATGTTAGAGTCAAATGAAAAAAAATAGCGGGTATATGCGTAGCTCAATCTGAACAAAAATTTGCCTTCCCTCATAGGCTGGGACATGTCATATAACATCCAAAAAACATATACAGTGAAAGCTCCCATAAGCGGACACTCACGGTTCCGTAACTTTTGTCCGCTTATGGGAGGTGTCCGTTTAAAAGAGAGTATGTAAGTATAGAGTATAAATAACGGGGTATATAATCATGAGGAAATGAGGTATTATAATCATGAGAAAAATGAAACAGAAACTCGCCACATTTTTAAAGTATGTATTTATGCTATATATCTATATAATATATGTACATATACGCATACAAAAACATAAATGCTTCAATACATGGTACGAGAATTTAAAAAAAACAGTATTCTTTAGCTTGTTGAAAAAAGTTTAAAATGTTTGTCTGACGAAATTTCACCATCTTTTGCTGAATGAGACAATTTTCGTAATAACAAATGTTGAAATGCAGTGAAATCATCTTTAGCACATTTTTTCAATATAGAAATATGATTTAGAGCTTCCCCATATGAATTTATCGTTTTTGAACCGCTTAGTGAGTCCACCAGTTCCACTTCTTCTTCTGAGTCGTTTGGACTACCATATTCAAGTTGGCCTGGGCTTTCTGCATCCAAATTCGAAAAGTTGCCAATGGCATTTTCTTCTGTTGTTATGGTCTATGGCCAGGAAATCATCTACTTTCTGGGGATCTGCTACTCCTAAATGTTTGGCATGTCGCAGTAACTGAGCAAGTGTCGCTAAGGGCAGATCGTCTTCAGCATCGCAATAATTTTGCTCAGCAAATTCTGAGCTACATTCACTTTTTCTGAGTCCAGCTTTGCCAAAACAGTTTTTAATTATAGAGGAATTTACTTTATTCCATGCTGTTTTTATAAAATACAAAGCTTCTAACACATTGATAGACTTTGTAAGCTCAGATAAGCTTTGACCATCGTCAATTTTTGTTAAAATATGTTTTAAAATCAAGTGCCGATAATAAAATTTAAAGTTCTGTATGACACCTTGATCCATGGGCTGACAAACAGAAGTTGTGTTTGGCGGTAAAAATATAATTTTCACATTTTTCATTTTCATATCACGAGGGTGAGAGCATGCATTGTCTAAAAATAAAAGAACTTGCCTTTTTTGGATTCTCATTTTCCGGTCGAATTCAACTAACCACTCAGACATGATTTCTCGGGTCATCCATGCCTTTTTGTTGGATTTCCAAGTCGCTGGTAGATCCTTAATAGCAACGTTTTTTAAAGCACGGGGACGAGCCGCTTTCCCGATCACAATCAAATCGCATTTTTCACCGGCCATATTTGCACAGAATAAAATGGTTAGTCTATCTTTAGACAACTTTCCACCCACACATGTTTCTCCTTTAAAGGACAGAGTTTTGTCGGGCAATGCGCGAAAAAAAAGTTCACTCTCATCTGCGTTGTACACATCTTCTGGTTTGTAGCCAAGCAACATGGACGGAAGTTTCTCCAAAAATTGTGACACATCAACTTGATCTACTGCAGCAGCTTCGCCAGATATGCATTTGAAACTCACACTATGTCTCTTGCGCCACTTTTGCAGCCACCCGTCGGACGCACTGAAATTATTATAGCCCAAAGTAGTGGCGATTTCTTTAGCTTTCATTTTCACTAACGGCCCTGAGATTGGAATGTTCTGACTTCTAGCTTTCACAAACCACACAAAACATGTTTTGTCTATAGCAAAACTTTCCTTTTTTAAAAAATCCTTCTTTTGATTTATATTAGTTCCTGATTGCCATTTACTCCTGATATCTTCCTTATTTTTGGCAATTTCAGCTGCTTGCGTTTTCCCAATATTAAACCTCTTTGCCAAATGACGAACTGAAACACTTTCTCTGTCTAATACGTTAACAACTTCCATCTTTTCCTTTAACGAGAGCATCCTTTTTTTTGGTGCATTTTACAGTTACAATAATAAAATACGTAACTCAATCAACTACGAATTTGCCTGAACTGAAGACAAGCTACAAGATTACATACAGGCTACCCAACGAAATGCGTAAATGGGGAATCACCTAATATAAATCGGGGAATTACCGAATTTTATGTATGTAGATATGTGCATTGCAATAAGCGGAACTAAAAAATCGTCCGGGTATTAGAGTTTCGCGTCCGCTTATGGGAGATTTTTTGATCACATACAGGAAAATCTAGTGTCCGCGTCCGTTTATAAGAGCGTCCGTTTATCGGAATGCATTTAACATTGAAAATTGATGGCTGAAATTCGGTTCCAGGAACTTTGTCCGGTTAAAAGAGATGTCCGCTTATAGGAGCTGTCCGCAAGGAGAGCTTTCACTGTACTTCCTCGCCAGTTTTGTCATAGGAGGTAAAAGTATAGAGTCAATCTACTTGACGCTACTTTTACATATGCTTTGGGTCCATTGGATAATTGTAATGTTCACCGGAGTTAAGAGGTTATGATTCTCATGAATGTCGAAGAGAATTGGATTCCTGTACAAAGCATAATAACTAACAATTATCACTCCTATTAGAGTTGCAAGAATGATTATACAGTATTCCTTACACAGCATTGTATACTGTAAGAACATTGGCAAAACCCTCTTAGAACAGCTATACAAGCGGAATGGGCACACCTAATAGGACATTTCGGTCATTTAAGAGGTTATATAAGGGCTGCAGGTAACAGTTATACAACAAAAGTGTAAGCCTCTTGCAGCCGCTATAGGACATTTGCGTCAGTGCAAGATTCAGTTTTTGTCAACTATGCAACTGTTATGTTACGTGATTCTACTTTATTGCAACCAAACTATTTCTTATGTATTGTATAGACGAAGTGAAGAATATATAACTAACACATTACAGTCATCCTGTTTACTTACGTATATCGGCCATTGTGAATTTCATACACAGGTAAGTATATGATAAACGTCTACACTGTGATATAGGGCTATTGAATTACTTGCGCAGCAAATTTTATTGTGATTATTGTGCAAAGTAGTTACGCAATTTCTACGCGCTTCGTATTTGATTCATATTTTAATAATGATCAAAAGTATGTCTAGATTTTTAAGATGGAAAACTGAACTTATCTGCGTTAAATCTTCCACAAATCCTATATTTAGACACAATTACACCAATGTTTATCACTTTATATCTGTAATTTCGAACTGAAACATAATTATTTAATATTAAATAGAGGAATACATGTTTGCCCAATATGGCGGGTGGTTGTGTATAATCATGGCATCGCCCATGTCGTCTTTAGTTTATTAGAATATTTTGGTGCTGCCTACAACAATTTGACAAATGTCTGAAGTGAAATACCGACAGAGTCGAATGATTTACCCAGAATTTGTACCAGATCTATATCTTCTGTTTGAACAGTTGATAAAACCTTTTGAACCAATATGCATGCGTTGTTTGTCTTAAAACATTGGTTATGGCATTTTAATAAAAATATGACAGCATAAAGTTAGGTTATGGTGAAGTTATATACCAACATATTTAGCAACAAATGTATGCCGAGCACAGCAATTTTGTACTACACAACATTAAGCCAGCATTTTGGTGTTCAGGCAACAACAATAGAGAGCTTTTATGGCTGAACGGTTCTTTTACCAAAAGCTTATAGCACTACTTTGCTAGTTGGACCTACCTTTTCTGTGAGATCATCTGCCGTGTAACAAAGAAAGAAGCACTTAACTACAGCATTCATAATCTTAAAGGAATATGCGTATATTCCCCAAGAACATGTGAGTACACTGTGGATGCCCATGGTGATTTCCAAGAAAAACACTCCAAACTGCACTACGAAGATTTTTCCATAATTTTCGCATATTTTTCCCACTATCGTTTCTGCTTGATGGTGTATCTTTTGTAAATTGCACAATACAACCAGTATCGTTTCAGCGCTAGAATTCTTCAATGTCGTTTCCAATTTTCCGTTAAAGAAAATCAATTTTGCTTTCACGAAGTACATGCAAGTACAAAAATCCAAATAACTGGCTTCTGTCAAAGTAAAAGCTATTAAATTGATTACAAATGCGTTTGGAGGTAGGTGCTGAAAAAAATCGCTGAAGAAACATGTCTGGTCTAAAACTAGCTTCACCAAAATCATCGCTATCATAGATATCACGAACACGTTGATGTGACTTTGATCGACACCGTAACAGTTATGCACGTCTATATCGAAGCTTTCTAGTTTCAACAAAAGTTCCAGTCTATTTTTATAATTAATATAGTTGTATATACACTGTGTAACGAGAAAGAGGAGCAGAAACGTAATATATAACAAATAGGTTGCTGTGAACATGATATTATCACTTCTGCTCACATCTGAGAATAAGGAATGGATGAAAATAAAACCCAAGGCAGCAGAGACAACTAATGAGTAAGCAAACCACACTTTTGAAATTTCTGGCCGATGATTGTCATTTGAGAATGTTATTTTCGATATACCAAATATATTGCAAAATCGGTATAGTAGCTGAAAAGCTCTGTGAATATCTCTAGACATTATAGATTGCGCTATACGTCACAAACTTTGGGGTGAATTATTTTCCTGGAGGTAAATATCGATGTTTCGGATGATTGTAAATTAATTTCAGATAGTTGGATTGCAAGCATTGGACAGTTAGACAATTGATTTGAAAATATAATGGGAGAATAAACACCTATTGTTGAATTAGATAGACAGCATAGAGTTCATACGGGGTGTCCCAGAATGACGTAACAAATTTCTATAGAAAAATGTTCTACGTGGTTTCCCTTTAAAGATTTTCCTTTGCTGGCCGTATCTATTTGAAAAAAGACTGATTATAGGCAACCCGTTGCACCTACCTGCTCTGTTGCTATCTACTTTATATTCAATGATCCGTTTAAATTTTTCTAGTATCTCAATCAAATGCATCTTCTTCTCGCTAAACCTTTTCCTATCGCTCTCTTTTTTGAAATTATACATATATAGCTATACACATCCACAGCCAAACATTGATAGCTTAAGCATGAGCACAGCAAAACATACATGATGTCACAAAAAACCTGAATAATGTCAAAACATCAACATAATGCCACTTTTCAAGATAAGTAATACCCCTACCGTTCAATAGAGAGCTGTTAAAAAGAACATTACTTTATTACGAAAACATGTGAACACCGATTACGCTTGATACTTCTTCATTCATTTCTTCTTTTGCATAGTTCACAGCGAAATTGCCTTTGGCCGTATTCCAGCGCTGTCTTCTTCTGCCTTTTAGTTTCAGGTTCCTAAAATCATCAAGAAGGAAAAATATATTAAGCCGCGTGTCTCCAATCCCCCAATAATCTTTCTGATCAAGGCTACCAACCTAACTGCACTATTTTTTCAATGTACATACCCTTGGCCTTGAACATCAGGAGCACCTACATATGACCTTGATGAGCATCAAGTTTGTTCCTCAACTCACATTTATACGTTATCTAGTAATATCTCAAAATTCCCCATATCGGCACAGGACATATAAAATTCTGACGGATCCGTCAACGTCAGGTAGTCAGAGTCGTATTTTGTTTTGTTTCTTTGTACGCAGTTTGTATTTACTAACAACTCATACCAAAAACAAAACGTTACAAACAACTTTTACTAGATTTACACCCGATTCACTATTGCCAACGTCGCAGAATAACACAAAAATGTCATTTGCTGATCAGCTGTTCACCTCAGTAGACGTCAAAGCGTGACAGATACTCGTGAAATCGGTTATACCACATATGACACATGGGCGCCGCAGGGAGGAGGCAGGGGGAGGGGTAGGCCCCTGAGAATCAGATCAGACCTTAAAATTGGCATGATTTTGTGAACAATTCTGAGGAGGTTTAAGATTCCCTCCCCCGGTCGAGAAAAACTGCTCGCTCTTCAAAATGTTTTTGGAGCAGGTGCACTGTGACAAAAAGTTCTCTTATCAATGGTCGCCTCCCTGAATTTTTTTTTGCGAGCACCCATGATACGATATAATTTTAAAAGCGATTATCTATCGAGAATATTCAGAAATAAACAAACCCTACAAAAATAATCACCTCTTTGAGACTTCGCATTAGATAGTTTTGCGTCGGCTGAGTTAATCTAGCAACAATGGCCTTCATTTTTCTTGACCCAGGGCGTTTTCTGGAAGATGTCGAGCTACCATCGCTACTCCTTTGAGTAGACATCGTTTCTTGTTCTGTTAGTGAGTTCATGGCGATACTCGGTCGACTGCTATTTGACCTTAGAAAATATACAGCGAGTCACTTTTTTGATCACTAATTTTATCTCTATCGCTTGTCTAATTACAATCCCGTTTTGAGGCAAATATATCCCCAACCTTCCTCTACAGAATGCTTTAAAGGGCATCATAATCGAATAAAGAGTGCTTAGCTGTTCCTAGATCCTCACTAGTATGAGTTACTCTCGGAATAAAAACACCTAACTTAAATAAATTAAGTCGCTGCTGAAGATTAGTAATTACGCTGTCTAGAACTGTTTTTTTTTTTTTTAGTCCGTCAACAAGTATTTTTATCAAATTTAAAACGTTAAAGGCGTGCGCGAAAATGGTGTTTTCTTATACTCCTGTCTGAATTTTCGATTAGAAACTTTAATCACATAATACATGAATTCCCAATAATGCACTAACGTACATTCAGTGCTGCCAAGCCGAAAAATGCAGAATCATTATTTTATTTATATTTGCGTCAAGCTGAAACTATAGGCAACCAGACTTACACACTTACGAATTGATCAGTGTTGCCAGGTAGGATGAATTTTCACCAAACATGGTGATGGTGACCTCTTCCTTTGTATCCATTACATATTTGCAAAATCTCTGTGTTTAATTGATTTATCGAAGAGATCCGAAAGTCATAAATATTAGTGGTCAAACTAGATTCGCTCAGGGGAGGGTCATGACTCATGACCCGCCAAAATCCGTGAAATGCACATTGCTATGACGTCACTTGGTTAGCTTATAAAATAGTTTGCATTAATTCAGCATTACTCGTTTTATTTTATTGCGGAGTTCTATGCCTTCAAAATACCTGACATGAATTACCTTTGAGACTTAGTGGCAGATTTAGGTTTCTGATAATACAACATCGGAGGCATCAAAGTAGTCATGGTCCCAATGTCAGCGAATTTAAAAAACGGAGAAACAAACTGCCTGATTTGAGCGCTGTTCAACATCCCCAAGATAGTTCTGTTGTTTTTTTCCTGGGCCAGTATGCCCAAAGTTTGGAACCTCGAACTTTCCGTGGGGTCTCTGCTTGTACCTTCTGCTGATTGCGCATCGTGGTTATTCGGGGATATGGTTTTGATGCTGGCTGTCAGTTTTAATTCAGGCACTGGTGATTGGGTCTGGAACTGAATGCAGAGCTGTCATCATTGTAGATCGATGAGTCTAGCAATTGCGTTTATACCAGTCCAATTAGATCATACAGGGTGGCCGATATGTAACTGACTGGTTTCTATCTTGAATATTTGTGAAATGAAATAAAAATATATATATATATATATATATAACTTGAGACGTGGTCATTGTCGTCTAGACCAGTTAGGTGAAAAATTAAAGCTTCCGCTTTTTGTTGGGTACTTCGACAAAATTTAAGCAAAGAGGACTCTTTATACTTTTTTTAATTCTCTCTAGCTTTCAATGGACTTTGCCATCATCATCAGGAGCTGTAATTACAATGATAACAGTAGCAACAAAAGTGTAAAATGAATTTGAATTGAATCAACTTACAGTAGTAAGTATAGGATGAGGGAAACGTCCAGTAACATGGTGAGAGCTGGATACATGGTACAATGGTTAAAATTATATAAAATATGACAAGACAAGTTAAAGACAGATTAAAAATTATTTAGAAAACATTAGAGCATTACGTCGTGAAGCCACTTGATGATTGCACAAAATGGTGGTCATGGAATAATGAGTGAGATGAACCTTTGACAGAAGGCCGAAGGTTGTCAATGTCTGTGTTAAAAGATGGAACGAATTGTGGGCGTGTGCCAAAACGTTGCCAAATCACTTCAGATGATGTGATTTTCAGAATGTTATGTAAGAAATTGTTAAACAAAGAAATTACATATCTCCCCAAATTTCGACTTTTCACAACCATAAATATAATCTGTGTTTTGGCCGATTCCACCAACAAATTTCATTCCACTCAAAATCTAATAATTCTCTTCTCACGATTTATTAATAATTATTAATTTAAAATTCCCATCAATTAAAATATAGTTTATTCAACTGCCTCTGGTCGGTTTAACAATTTCTTACATAACATTCTGAAAATCACATCATCTGAAGTGATTTGGCAACGTTTGGCACACGCCCACAATTCGTTCCATCTTTCAACACAGACATTGACAACCTTCGGCCTTCTGTCAAAGGGTTCATCTCACTTATTATTCCATGACCACCATTTTGTGCAATCATCAAGTGGCATCACGACGTAATGCTCTAATGTTTTCTAAATAATTTTTAATCTGTCTTTAACTTGTCTTGTCATATTTTATATAATTTTAACCATTGTACCATGTATCCAGCTCTCACCATGTTACTGGACGATTCCCTCATCCTATACGAAAACAACAATTAGCAACATCCTCACATACTACTGTAAGTTGATTCAATTTAAATTCATTTTACACTTTTGTTGCTACTGTTATCATTGTAATTACAGCTTCTGATGATGATGGCAAAGTCCATTGAAAGCTATAGAGAATTAAAAAAGTATAAAGAGTCCTCTTTGCTTAAATTTTGTCGAAGTACCCAACAAAAAGCTTTAATTTTTCACCTATATATATCATCAAGTAGTCACTGCTCACGGCAGTTGTTCTCGGCGTAGAAATAAATTGAAATAATTGGGTCATACCAAATAAATGTATAACAACGAATTGAGCAAAAATATATATTTGTCAGTAAACTTGAATACTCAACAGGTCCCTTACAGTAAATCACAAGTTAGCATCACACTCAAATCAAACACGATAACCTGTAAAGGCTACTTCACATATAGTAAATCGATTCTGCTGGTAAAAACTCCACAGATGTGACAGTCAACGGCACTTGAACTTTCACTGATTTCGCTATCCTTTTTAATTTCAGTTTAGGATACACTGGAATTCTGTTCTTCACATTTGCGTGTTTTACGATTTCGTCAACCCTACAAATAAATTTTTGTAATCAACATCGTGTAAAAGCAGAAGCCGCCTGGCGGCGTCTGTGAGGACCGTAACAGTGGATCGCCTCCTAGATCGACGCGAAGTGATCTCCAACATTCTAGATGTCGCTTTGTGGGACACTCGTTCTCTCGGCGGCCGGGAGATGGAGGCAGTGTACGGAATACAGTAGAGTAGCAGAGTGGAGTGAGGTATAGTGCAGTCAACGGTGGCATAAGAATTAGTCAGACATAAATAGTGCTGTATATAAAGTTAAATAAATCAGAGTATTTCTATTTGTGGAATCCAGTGTTTTAATCCACACCCAAAAGAACCCAGAAAAATGCTACAATACATACAGACCAAGCATATAATAATAATAAAAATGAAAGCGTGTTAAAAAAAGAAATTATCTTGTGTTTGCAGTAAGCTGACGATATAGGCAAGGAGTTGGCAGGTCTTGTAATATTATACCTACCTGTACAAATGATTCCAACTGTCCACTACGCTTTTGACATTCGTATTCGGCATGTCATGAACAGGCACGATCTTCTTTTTTACCAGATTTTTCTTCAAATCTCTTATATGTCTGGTAGTCTCCTTCCACCATTGCCTATACAAGCTCGATTGAACTCTAGCGTCTTCCTCAATCGTTTCTAGCTTATGACAACATTCGATGTTCGTCTGTTGGCTGTGTCTCAGAAAAGTATGAGTCGGTGCGGCTATTCTGTCGATCTGAAATTTAGATACGGATCAGAGTAGTGTCGTTTGTACAGGGTGTTTTTCATAAACACTGGATTATTGAATATATATTATTTTAAGACATAACTTTGGCGTTAATGTGTTTCTTTACTTTCAGAAAAATCAGCAATGTAGCATTTCTATTTTTCACCTAAGAAAAAAAATTGGGGAATGTACTAAGTACACATACTTTTGTTTTGTCTCATTATGGAATGAAATGGTATTAAACTTTATCAAATACAAAGTGAGTGGTGGTAATGTCAAATACCAAAATGGAAAATAGCCTAACCCATCGTACGCCACTGGTAGTCTTTGACAGCGTCGACAAAGAATTGGAAAATCGTATATACAGGGTGTCCCATTGTAATATTCCCATCTCAATATTTCAAAAAGTGTGTATTCTATAAGAAAACAGTTTCAACCAAAATGTAGGGTTTCAAAGAAGCAAAATTATGGTCACGATCTACGATCTTCAAGGTCAAATGAGAAGAGATAAATTGGACATCCCATCACCATGACTTTCACGATGTCCCTCAACGCGACATTTCAAGATCTAATCAAGATATCGAAAACAATTTGACCTATCAAACATGTTCGTCAGCACAGTTGTGAGGTTTGTGGGGATTACCCAAATGTGATCTTCAAAGTCAAGTAAACATTTACAAAGGAAACCTCTTATTACCACACCGAAAATTAAAAAAGCAGGAAATTCTACTTCCTAGTATGACCGACCTTGACCTCACAAGGACAAAGTCATGTTAACCTTGAATGTTACATTCAGGCGTAAAATTTCGTGGATTTCCCATTTTCGTTATAAAAATGAAAGTTGATGTTTCGACTTGACCTTGAAGTTCATTGTCAAGGTCACCTTCGAGTGATTCCCACAAATCTCGGAATTGTGCTGTCAAACATTTTTGCTAAGCAAGATTGTTTGAAATATCTTGATTTGACCTTGAAATGACATTTACGGCAATATTCAAGGTCATTGTCATGATATTTAGACGTTAAATTTCCCGCTTTTTTCAGTCCGATGTGAAAAAGGGAGAGCTCCATTTGAAAATATTCGACTGACCTTGAAATGACCTTGTAGGTCGGAGTTAAGGTCATTGTCAAGGTTATCATCATTTTGCCCGATAGAAACGCTACAACTTGTTTGATACTTTTTCGTTGAATGCGCAGTTTTCGAAATATTTACGTGGGGATATTAAAATGAACCCTCCTGTATATTTTGATGTCAGATCTGTTCTTAAAGACCATGAATTTGGAGACCATTGGAGGAGGAATTCTAAAATTAGATATCTTGTCAAGACAAACTTCTTTTTTGCTGTTTCAATCAGGAGTAGAAAGACTAAACACAGAGAGCAGTGGCATGGAATGAGTACGCTACTCTCTTCTTTTTTCTTGCCTGAGTTTAGGACTATGTATTACTCAAGTCCCTATAATATCTTGTCTTTGGTAACACCCTGTATGAAAGTACGTCATACGTTTTACCTTTACTAAAGAACACTATTTATTACACTTTCACTTAAGTTTCCGTAAAATTTTCACGTTCCTTAAAATCATCCTCATCATCTTTCTCGTCCCTCACCTCGACATCTCTCAGTTTTTTCCTCGGTTTTTCCACAGTATCTTGTTTCTGCTCTTTTTTCTTCACTAAAGGTCGGCCAGATTTCGATTTTTGTGAGGCGGTCGTCGTGTTGCTACCGAACAGACCTCGGTGTTCCGCCATTTGGATCATGTACTTGTCGTCTAGTCTTATTACTTGCTGAAAGTTTTCCAAAATTGGACTGTCTGGCAGATATGCATAGAGGATCTCCGGAGACGCACCAGCTGCTCGCCAATCTCCAACGGTTAATTCCGATGCGTCGCCGGAGTTCGTCTATGCAAATCAGTATTAATATTTCGTCCTTATCATAAATTTCGTCAAAACGCGTATATTACCTTTCTTTGTATAAGAGCTAGGTAACATCCTTCTTTTTCGAAGTTTCTGCACTTCTGACTGGGGCATAACCTTGGCAGACTTGACGTATCAAAAACGTCCGTATCGGGTACCTATAATCCACAAATATTTATCTTTTGAAAAAAAAAACGCTTCTTAAACGTCAAAAAATGTCAAGTATTTTTTATTTTACCTGTACTTTGTCCAACAGGCTTCCACTATTTTCCTTTTCTGATTCGGATAATTGTGAGTCGCTTGAAACTACTTCTTTCAGAGGTATTACGTTGGGCTCTATCTTTTCTTTGTCTCCATTCTCATTGTTATTTATTTCATTAGAATCCTGGAATACAGTAAGCAGGTAAAGCAAACTTAATTTTAACATTCCATTTCTTTTGTAATCATAATGTTTACTAAGGCCCCTATCGTCAGTCGTCCCTACAATTGTAGGGCGCGTTTATGGCCTCCTTGATTGTCATAGTTTTCTACTTCTCCGTGTCAGAACTCTATTTTGAGGTTATGTCACAAACATCTATTTGCATCAAATTGTACTTGCTTTTGAGTTATATCATGTTTTATGAGCCTGAAATTTCCTACAATTTAAAAAGAAAACATATCTTCACAATAGGAGAGCGCTGACGCTGACACGGGACAAGTGTAATCTAGAAATTTTTGAAGGAGAGAAAGCAGTATGTCAATCAAGGAGGCCATAAACGCGCCCTACAATTGTAGGGTCGACTGACGATACGGGCCTAAAATGCTGTAATTATTCACACTAAATATTTTATATGATGACACGAGGGCGGTCCAATAAGTACTTAACCTCACCGCCCGATGGCAGCACTGTCGTATTCTCGAAAGACGGCTACTGTCAAAATTTCAGCGGAATCGTACTCGTACTTTTTAGAAAAATGAAAAAAGAGCAATATCGATTGCTGATTCGACTATTGTTTCTTTTCATTCTCGTGTATGATACGCGTATGGGGATTCACTCCTGGTTCTGCTCACCTTTTCCTCTTGACTCGTATTAAACAGTGATCCTTGAAGAGCGGCGTGATGCAATTTGGCAACCTTGTTTATTTCTGTCATAGCTTTTTCCACCATTCTTGTGTTTTCCACGTCCAGCGCTGAGTGAGTCTCGTAAAGGACAAATTGTATCTAAAACGTACGTTTTAATGGTTACAAAGCTATTGAAAAACAATACACAGGGATCTCGGCTCGTTTTATGCCTACAGCAAACGTTAAACGGGGCGAGTTTTAGAGGAAACCTAGTGCTTTCGATAGCCGGCTTCAGATTCACGATCGGTCAATTGGTTTTGAAAATATCAGCGAAAAACGGTTAATTTGACATCTGTCAAAATGTGACATTATTCGGACATTTTTTTAAGAAATATAAGATAGCATGTCTGACATGTCTCAATCGTCTTTTGTTTCCCAGCAACCCGCCTCAACTTTCACTTTTTTATGGCCGCCATATTGGATTTTTCGATTTTTGAATAGAGTGTAAAATTTCCAGTCTACTGATGTCTGACAAGTGCATAAAAGATTGGAGTATAACCGAAAAATCATCACAAGTAATGTTATGGATTAGTTTTTCTAAGGAGGCCATGATTTATTTGTCAGACAAGAACATTAATCAGTAAGATCGCTCTGGATTGCATCTATTTATCTCTGTCGCACCTTTTCGATTTTCGAATCGGATCGATAAATGAGTGTTAGCGTTATGATGGTACAGAAATACTTTGTCCTTTTTCCAGTGTTCTTAGGATTAGTCACACAGAAATGGCTGATTTCTAACCAATACGATTATTGTTTGCAACATATAGCGGCAAAATGCAAGCAAATGAGAAACATACTAACTCGACCAATCCAGTTTATTTCTGCACACTTCTCTCGCAAAACAGAAAAAAACTCGTTGGAACGCTCTTATCAGTAAACAGAAATAGTCACACAAAAAACGTTTGACGCTGATTGGTCAACCAATACGATTATCGTCTGCAGAATATTCTACGGATGCTATGCTAGGTGTACCGCTTGTAGGCGGGTCTTTCGTTGTTTTTTATATCTCTCAGGATATTATTGGTTATTTGGAATTCCCTTTGCTTGCTACCATGCAGGAAACGTTGGGATGGGATTTTCAAAATACCCTTACAGTGGAGATTTTGGTACTTGTCGCGACAGTTGCGATTCATACGTGATGCTGAGAGACTGGGGATATATTCACATTCGTCTATACACAATTCTAAAATGTGTACGCTCAAAATAAAACCATTACTTGGCCGAATTTTCAAGGAACGATGTAACATGTTTTGTAGTGATTCCTACAGAAACGTATTAGAAAATAATATTAAGCCCAAACTAGGGGACAATATAATATTATTTAGGGATTCCGTGAAGGATTTGGGCTTGGTGGTTGACTCTAACTAAAGTTTAGAGAGCACATTAATCAGTGCCTAAGAAAAGCATATTCAATGTTAAAAATAATTTACCCCCATAGACATTACCTATCAGAAAATACTAAAGCCACGCTCTGCGAAACTTTAGTGAATATGGTATATTTCTTGATAGCGTGGTAACTAAAACGGGTTCAAAAAGCTCAGAATTCTTGTCAGAGACTGATATTTGGCATAAGGGGTAGACAAAGAGTATCCCACAAACTACCTTAACTGGGATGGTTGAATATGGCTCAGAGGCGTACCTTGCACTCTACTTCCTTTTTTACAAGATTATAAAATATAAAAGCCCTCCTTATCTCCACTTAAAAATTAGTTACCGGACTGATGTACATAATCTAAACGTTAGAAGGTTGAATTTGAATACAATACCATCACACAATAAAGAATCATTTAAGAAATAATTCACATATCAAATTGCCTTTTTGGTAAATAAATTCATTTTTCTCTCTCGGTAGTTACATTTAAGAGGAACCTTAAAAGTGATTTGCTGTCTCAGATATCAAAGAAAACATATCTCCTGCTCCCCCTTTTTTCTTCTTCTCTTTTCCCTCGCTTTCTCTTCTCACTCAAAATTTCCATTTCTCTACTTGCTATACTTCGCTATATTTCTCAATATCAAAACATTATTAATTATCAAAGTCTTAATAGCCATTTGCATTGTTATAGAATTGTTTAAATTTGTTTGTTTTTTTTGCTCTAGCAGCTGCTTCTTTAAGCTGATGTAGCCCTTTATTCTCTTAAGGCTTTTTGTTTGTAAACTTTTATATACTGTTTAATGAGGGTAATAAATATTATTATTATTATTATTATGTTGGCAACGTGTTGAGTAGCAGAGTGATGAGCTTTGTTATCCAGGCGGCTTCTATCTCTGTCTAACATATTATGTGTCTAGACACTCTTCTCTCTCGTACACATTGAACTCAAGCCGTCAGACAAATTTGGTTTTCCCTGTATAGAGTATTTATTTTCTGACAAATAAATCATGGCCTCCTTAGAAAAAAATTAATACCTAACATTACGTGTGATATTTCGATGACATTCCAATCTTTTATGCACTTGTGAGACATCACTAGGTTGGAAATTTTACGCTCTTTTCAAAAATCTAAGAATCCAATATGGCGGCCATAAAAAAACGAATGTTGAGGCGGGTTGCGGGAAAACAAAAAAACGATTGAGACGCTATCTTATTCGCCTTAAAAAAAATGACCGAATAATGTCACATTTTGACAGCTGTCAAATTCACCATTTCGGATTTACTGTCAAAAAACGAAATTCGACATTTTCGGTTTTTCGCCGATATTTCCAAAACCAATTAACCGATCGTAAATCTGAAGATTCCTCCAAAACATTTCCTATTTAACCTTTGCTGTATAGACAAGCGAATCTGGAACACACTGTATGTGAATTGACACAACCAAATGCATTCGTCGAGTCACACATAGTAGCTATAGTGTTAGAGTTATCTTCTATATTATCCAGTACTAATACCTAGTGACTAATACTAAAACGAAAAATCTGCTAGGTATATTTATTTTCTTTAAATTCCTACCTGGGGCCTAGACATGGCAAATCTGAGCGTCTTCTTCTGCTCATCCAAAATATTCGACACTCTTTGTTTAGCTTCTTTCGTCTCTCCAGACTCAGTAAGTACTTCTAGCATGGATAAATCTCCACCACGGCTACAAACCTATTTTTATTATATTATCTATGAACCGAAAATCTAATATAACATCATCGTCACGTTATACGTCAAATACATTGAATATAAACGCAGGGGTACCTCAAGGATCGGTATTAGGTCCGATCCTATATCAATGATTTAATAAACGTAAATGGTGAATTCGTAGTTTTTGCTGACGATGCCACAATACTTTCTTTGGCGGGGCACAGATATAAATGAAATTATATAAAATTGATAGTTATATACAATCAACCAAAAAATAGTATCCTTGACTGTCAATGTTAATAAGACAACATTTATGGCATTTAAATGCTCCCTTTGATTGTATAAATTTAAATAGTGCTTCTTCTACTAACAAAAACGTCATATTAGATACATAACTAAAATAAATCCAAGAGCTACATGCTATATGCAGGCCTTTATTTGCAAATCTTTAAATTATGACTATCGTATCAGTGTTAATTTTAGAAACAGCAACTCTTATTTTTTTAAATAAATCTGAATTTCAAACATTAAATATAAATATTGGAGGAAAATAAGATCTTAAATTAGTAATACCTGAATCAAAACGACTCAATAATTTATAATAGTTTGAAAATTCACGTGTCGCCTTGGTACTATCAAAAGAATTAATTTAAGAATATTCCGCCGTAATTATGTTATAGTTTAGCTTTAAGTTAGCTTTATCATTAAGAATGACTGTATTCTTCGAAAAATAAAGCATATTTATCTATCTATCTATTCTGTATATTCACTATACTATAACTATCTAAAACAGTAATGACTCATCGATGTTCACGTGAACAACACTTAACTACCAGTAGTCGGCTGTTCGTAGGCGGGGTATGAATGTTTAACATGGGTACTAGATTTGTCACATGCTTAATAAAGAGTGGTTTGAAACATATTGTAAGTCAAAAATTTGGGAATTACCTTTATTCATCGTCGCTTCCACTTACATCTGACAGTAATAAACTGTCGCTATCGCTTTCCTCGTTGAAATTGACTATAACTGGCTCTATGATGGTGTCGATGTGGTGGTCAAGCTGCCACATTTTTGTTTCTTCCTTCACAACATGACGGATAGCATTCCGCCAAGCTTCGGGCGTTACTAGCTGTATGGAAGTCTCAAGTAAAACCTTAACGTCTGGTAATTTGAAGGTTGTGTTATGGCGCGCAATATAACCCTTCACTTGAGCCCAGATGAGCTCTATTGAGTTCAGTTCACAGTGGTAGGGCGGTAACCGCAGCACAGTGACACCACATTGACGGGCCATCTCATCAGTCACATAACTAATGTTCGCAGGTTTGTGCTGTTTAATTTTTTCATACAATTCCGCTTTCACACATCAATCGTCAAACGGGATTCCCGCGCAACCATTGCTGCATGTCACTTTTTCGAGATCCCATAGTCGGTACACGTTCGGCTCGACGACTATGGTAGGAAGCATTATCCATGACGATCACAGAGTTGGGCTCAACTCGCTGAAGCACCCCTTGAAACCAGCTCTCGAAGCATCTGGCATTCATTTCGTCATGGTAATTACCTCCTTTCTTAGAGACGAAAATCAAGTCACACTCTTCTAAAAAGCCACTATTGCTACCAATATGAGTTACGATCAATCTTTGACCTTTCCCTGACGGTCCACGAAGACCTGTTGACAAACCTTCAATGCTTGCTTGTCAGTTACTCACTACGTTTTTGTCTATCCAGGTTTTTTTAACTGTGTGACCTGCATTTACCCATGTCTCGTCCAAATAATAGATTTTTCTGCTTTGTCGCCTATATTCAATCATTTCGCGTAGGTATTTTCGACGCCAGGCGACTATTTCAGGTCTCTCTATCAATACTGACTTCCGATTACGCGTTTCGTAACAAAAATTAATTTCGTGCAGGGATTTCCTCATTACCTCGACGCTCATTTGGGGTATAATTTCATTTTCCTTGATCGCTGCATGTACAGCCTTGAGGGTTGGTATCTCATTCCTGAAGAAGAATGAATGTACGGTTCGTCTTAACGCCATTTTGCTATCGTCATCCAATTTAACGGCCTTTCGTCCCTTCAAATTAAACTTTGGATCAGTAGTAGCTCCAGTTTTCTTCTTTTCATGCACCACCCTGCGAATGGTCCACTCTGGAACGCCTGTCATACTTTCACAACGCGCGAGTGCATCTCCCTGCGACATAGTTCTGTTCAGATAATTCAACACGTTGAGCACGATTTCTTTCGCGTCCCTCTTCAGTGCTTTACGAAGCCGTCTACTTGTTCCCTGGCTTTCAGTACTTCCACTCGTGCCATTTGTACTCTCCATGGTTAAGTATAACCAAAACAGTAACCACAGAAACCACAACAATAACAATCACACAACAATTCTTATAAAAACACACAATATGCGATCGCTCAACGAAACACGTTCCCATGCGTTGCCGACGCCTATGAGTCTGCCGGCCGAGGCGCGTCTTTGATTTCATTGGTTCTACCGGCGGAGAACAATCAGCCATTATTTCCATCTCTGTCTGTGCTGTTGACCACCGCAAAGCCACAGAAACGACATATGTCGTACGCTAGACGGCTGTACTGGAAGGAAGCCGGGATCGAGCTCTGATCACGTGTTGATCACGCGTATGAATCATTACAGTTTTAAATAGTTGTAGTATATAAGTTAATACATAGAAACACATTATAGGACTAAGGAATAAATTCGTCAATCTAGCTAAAGACCCACAGTTGAAAACCCACCATACTGGAAGACTTACCAAATCAATCGGATCAACAACAGCTGAATAGCTGTTTGGAGGTGTGGCAAATACAGCAACAACTTCTTCCATGTAACTGGCATCTGGCGGTGTATCAATCAGTCTGTCAGAAAATATGACGACGTTTGTCATACCGAGGTCTTTAAAGTATCGCTCGTATTCGTTTTTTCTATACACGAAAGGAAATACATATTTTCATGAAGAAAGTATCGTTTCGTCAATTTTGGATAAAAAATCGTAACCCACGACCTTCCGCAATCCAGGCGGATTGACAGGTTGAAATCCTCACTTCTTATTTATCTATGATTCTTAAAAAACTGGATGGTTAAGGCTTGCTCCTGTAATACAAAAGGTCGTGGGTTCAAATCCCACCAATGACGATTTTTTCTTCTTCTGCTCACAATCACTCACCTGTTTCCGGCACTGAACGCCATCAAACGTTTGATCCGTTCATTTCTGGCCAATAAAGTCGCCAAATATGCAGTGGTTCGTGGTGAGTTAACGTGGCTCTGGATTACGCTACCGGTCAGCTCCAGGTCAACTTAAAGCAAAAACTGAACTTGAATGAAATTGTAATCTATTCAGTGTCTCAGTGTTACTCCTAACTATCTAACCGTATGTTTGAATGGGTCATAGTTACGTAACTAGAAAATGACGCCTACAAACAAGCGTGATCATTTTAGGATCTAAGGATCTATCAATAGCCCAAATGTTTGATTTTGACAAGTTTTTAACGATTACCTTAACTAACAGCCTAGCACCTATTGGTATTTACAGTATATTCAGATAAGAGATAGACCGGACATAAACAAGATCACGTGATCATCGAACGCTGTAACATTCGGCAGGGACGTATTAAGAGTCACGCAGTACATATTTTAGATAGTAGATGCTGCTTTGCGTAACTTTGTAGTAAATTAGCACAATTCGATGTGTATACGATTGGTGATGGATATAGGATCATGTGGGGGTGGGGTAAGAAATATATAATGATGTAAATATACATAAGGGTTTCAAAATTTTCGCTTCGATTTCCAGCTTCGGATGCCGCCTGATGTTTGGTGAAGTACAGTCGAATATAATCTCAAAATGGCGTTTAAATTAGGCTAAATTAAAAATAATCGTATATCTCTTAAAATTGCTTTTAGAATATTGATTAGTATATTTTTTGATTTCTAGGTAAATATGTAACCAAATTAAAACGTTCAAAACGTAAAAAAATATGCATGGTTGAACATTGTCAGAAAGTAGATTCTTGAATAGGTTTTGCCAAAATGGGTTCAAAAATGTCAATAATTAATTAAAAAATACAGTAGCTTTATAATTACTTATAACTTACCGAATTTGATGAACGACATCTTTTATTGGAAAGATGAGCTTGATGAGCTTTCATCATCGCTACTGCCTGAAGCACCAACGTCAATAATGAATGGCTCGACTTGTTCCTCTAAAATATTGTCCAGTTCCCACATTCTCTTTTCAACTTTGTCTTTCACGTGCTTAATACAGTTTTCCCATTTTTGCGCTGTTATTAATTCTAGTGCTTATTTGAAAAGTCCTTTGAGGTCACAAAATTTAAAAGTTGTATTGTGCTTAGCTATATAATTTTTAACCTCTGCCCATATGAGCTCAATGGGATTGAGCTCGCAATGGTATGGAGGTAAACGGAGCACAGTTTTATTTTGACTTGCTGCCATTTCGTCAATGGCGTATTTTTGATATTCCGCCTTGTGATCCCTGACAATTCTTAATAATTGTACTTTCAGCATTGCTTCTTCAAAGTTGATATTTTTCGAGCGGAGCCAATTTTGAACATCAACTTTCCATGAAGCCGTTGTTGGGACCTTCTCCATTCTTCGAGAATGATAAGGCGCATTATCCAACACAATTAATGCGTTTTCCTCCAAGTTCGGTAAAATTTTTGAAAACCACTGTTCAAACGATTCGCCATTCAGTTCCTCGTGGTAATCTCCAGTTTTCTTAGACTCAAAGCACCACAGACCGTCAACAACAAATCCATCCTCACTGCCAATATGGCAGATAATGAGCCTTTTCCCTTTACCTGGAAATCGAAGTACTAACTGGTGTAGATTTATTTCAATAAGCGAACCTTTTTCAAATGTTTTCATCACATTCAGCGAAAAAACATTGAGACATGAGTATCAGATTGCTATAATTGGGATTATTTAGTCATATTGAAAGAAAGAATATTGAACGTCGTATGATTACTCAGCGCTTCACAATTTAATTTAAAGTTATAAACCTTTAAAAAATGAATGATCAGGTACCTGAAATACGCGCAAATATTAATATTAACAAATTATAACTTTATAAAGCTTAAAGTATGAATTAAAATGATTAGAAATATTAGGAACGGTACACAATATAAAACTTAGTGACTTTTTTTAAGTTTATAATATTCGACATATTTTAAGATTATATTAAAAAATTATTGAAATATCGAAAACACATAAAAACATGGCTTAAAAAAGTTCTAACAAATGAAAATGACAATAAAACATCCACGCATTTTATCGAAAGTTATAAAAGTTTTGTTACTTGTAATATGTTGTATCTGCCCCCTGGAATTAATGTTTAGAACCTTGTTCCCAAGGTTTGAAAAACATCCGATTGTTGTCTATTACTCGTATTTACCTGCTGGATTTTTTAATCCGGTGGACAGTCCATCTAGAAAGGCCCTCCTGGATGAAGTTACAGAATCATCAACCCATACTTTACTTGTAGTGTGTCCTGCGTTTACCCACGTTTCATCAAGGTAATAAATCTTCCTGTTTTGATTTCTATATTTCCCAATTTTTGTTAAATAATCCCTCCTCCATAGCACAATTTCTTCTCTATCCAGTAGTAAACTATTACGACCCCGTTTTTTCCATTTGAAATTTAAATGCTTCAGTAACGCATGGAAAGTTGATCGTTTGAAATTTGGCAACGTTGTATCTCCATTTACCTCCTGCAGTACTTTATCTATAGTAGGTATTTCATTCCTAAAGAAGAATTCATGCACTTTCCTCCTAATCGCATGCTTATCAGCTTCATCCAATGATTTAACAATACTTTTGCGATGTTTACTGGTCATTGGCTCAGAAAAGGTGTGATTTTTTTTGTATTGTCTTAACACATTAAACACTGATGCGCGACACACCCCAACTTTGTGAGAAACCTTCACAACAATTTCTTTGATGGTTGATGCCTCGTTCTCCTCGCGCTCGATCTTATATATATTCAAAATGACCTCTTTCATTTCTGGACTCAGGTGTCTTTTTTTAGAGCGTTTCCTAGGTGGACTACAGGAGTTTACAACTTCATCGGCAGTATCTGTACTACTGGGCATTTTGCGCAAGCAGTTGATAACAATAACAATCAATAACAAGGTATAACAATAACAACGACAAACTCAACAACTTAATAAGATAACAAACGAAAACGTCCAAAGAAATATCAAATTGCAATGATGCACACGACATACGTAACACGTCTGAACCTGAATGTGTCTCTGCCTTGATACGACTGCTCTGCCGCTCGGCATAGGCATTTAATTGCGAATTGACCAATGAGGGCTCCTGTTTTACGTCGAGACGGCGGCGTTAGCGTGAAAATCACCCGAACCTTTTGTTTACATCCGGTCTATCTCTTATCTGAATATACTGTAGTCCGAATACTAATTAAATCCAGGCAATCATGAATGTCCCTTATAGGCGAATATATTTTCGTGTCGCCAGCAAAACATAATTGCATAGAGGTCATCAATAAGCAATAGAAATGAAAGTGGTCCCAAGTTAGATCCTTGGAGAACACCGGGATGGAACTGAGCACGCATTATTAAAAATCTGTATAAATGTCATTCGATCTGACAGTTATCATCCAGTGGTTCAGTGAGTTAAAATAACCAAGTTCGTAACAAAAGATCTGCTATTGACGAAGTATAGGTAAAACTACTGAATTATTGAAGCAATAATTACATAATAGTATCAGAGTAAACTTTTTCATTTCCGTATGCCGAAGCTAGTTAATCATACAAGACATGCAACAGAAGTTGTAGGAAATTATCTCTGGTTTATCATGAAACATCAAATTCTCTAGAAAGCGCGATATTTTTGTGGAAAAGATACGACGTTGCACATAAACATCTATAAGAACATTTTTAAACTTTCCTACTAACACTATTTTTCGCCGTTTTCCAAATGCGAGTCTTAGAGAAAAATATTCTAATTTATACTCACCTACCAGCTTATAGAACGTCGCCGGTCCCAAACAAAATGACTTGTCCTGCACGATAAGCTTATGCTCTTTAACGAAATCACTCTTCGCTACTTTATCTCTCATGGAAGAATGGAACCCTATTATTTGCGGACAGTGTCTATCCCATACGAACGTATGTTCCTTCAATTCCTTAGAATCCACCACCATCTTCAAGTTGAACTTACTTTCGATGTCTTTGCAGAGCTGTTGGGTGTCGTTCACTTTGTAGCAGTTAACCCAACATGTCACTGGGTTGGTTTTCGAGAACTCTATTACCTAGAAGGAGGAGGATCTATGTTTTGAAACTGGGGTAATTTCAAAAACAAGAAAAAACGGAGCGTATCAATTTCCCCCAAATCGCTGTTTATAGAATCTCTGGTTGTAAGTCGAGTCTGAAACACGACGTCCCTTAACCGCGCCCTTAAATAAAATCAAGACAGGTTAAGTCTGGTGATCGCGAAGTGTTGAGAACCATACTTTTGGGACTACCCTCGTACTGTCTGTCAAGCGAAACGGGAAGTTTGCGAGTCTCTTACCTTTTCGTTCCTCAAATGTTCGGGTAACATTTCGGACAATTCCAACGCGTTATGTTTGATCCTAAGCCTGGCCACTGCGGCCGCAAGTTTGACCCTCTTCGTCCAGAGGGCGTTTTCCACCAAGGTCAAACCGATGTCAGGGAAGAGCTTCGCGGCCAAAGCTGCGTCAGCTTCGATCCTGCCTTGGAACTGTCGATGATACAGGTCGAAGAGGAGTAACCATACGTGAGGAGCGGAATTTACCAACTAAAACAGTACATTTTAGACATTTTTACTTGAAATTCTTTCATCATACGAGCTCTACGTAGCGTTCGATCTGACAACACTGGAGGCGCCGAGCTTGGAGGGGAGACGTGGGAACATGTGATCCGGCTTTAGTACAAGTTCGAACTCACTTGAGCCATTTGGTTCTCCGTAGAGACTTTTTTTGTGAAACAGTGTTTTCTATAGTGTTCTAAACATAAATGACATCAAGTTCGAGCAACGGTTGACATTCAAAATCATCATCATTTACAGATCTTGTCCATGTCTCTTTATAGGCCTGAGCATCTGGGCTGGTGGGGACGGCATATTTCCACAATTCAGATCTAGGTAATTTTCGCGGATGTTTTGAAAAAGAAAAAACACACGCCACTGCTTGATTCGGAAACCCCTGTTAGGTATATTTTATGGACGCCGACGAAAACGGTAATTCGACCAATCAAAATAGCCATTTAATCGTTAGAATACTTCATGCTTCGACAGGATAACCAAACGCATCAACCATCCAACATGAATGTCGTGAGTGTGGTCTATTTGCAGTTTTCACATTGAGCTGTGTCTTAATAGTTACAGCACCTACAAACTATTAATTGTGACGTGTTATTTCGGCGTTTCCCCTAATATTCACGATAAGTTCGGGGCGCAATTTCGAGACAAAGATCTTTCATAACTATAACTAGTAACTTCTGATGGTTATCTTCTGTTAACGGCACGATGGTGTTACCAGTAAAATGTTTGTTTGAATAAGCGGAAGCAGAGGATAACTAGCAGTAAAAGTGAGATAGTTTAGAGGAAGTTTTGAAGTGTGCAATGTAAAATATTAAACTTCGTCCGTTTTACAAAGTGACCGAAACATAGGACACTTCGTACGTCAATTGACGGCAATTTTTCCCGTTGATGTTTGCCGAGATAGTCCGCGTAATGCTAGGCAACCCATTATACAGAATGGGGTACGCGCGCTTGTCTACCAAGCGGCAACACTGACAGTCGCTTCCTGGTGTTAATTGTACGTAGTTGTTAGATTGATTCAACGTCTGTGAGTAAAAAAGCTCGTTCGCAAAATTATAGTATATTCAGCTATTATCCTACACATAGTATCGTTCATCGTACAGTATTTGAAATTATCGTACAGAAACGATAATTATCGTACGTCTGGCAACGCTGTCAGGTGGTCACAAAAGCGACATCTTTGTATTAGTAATTTATGGATTACGATGTAAGTCAATAGCACAGGCTGCGTTGTACCTTCCAGAAGCTTTAATTTTACCTCAAAAATAATATCACGTTTTTCTGGTTTATTGTCAGTCATCAGTGTAACGTATTTCATTTAAGGTCAAGTGTTTGCAAAACCTATCATAAAAATTAATAATATATTTGTACATTTTACTTGCATTTTTCTAATTTCTAACTTGAGTAATGATTAACCCTAATTCAAATATGTGGCTGTTTCATTGCCCCATAAAACCATATGGTGTTTCAAGTTCTAGAAAGTAGAGATGATTAACATAGTCGAAAACTGTTTTTTTCACTTTATTCCTAGCTGACTTGGAATATAGTAATGATCATTAGTAGCCGTTTTGCTTGTAGCGTTTTTTATATGCAAAGGAACTTTTCTGAACAAAAGAGTTGTTAGCAAGTACGATAAATCTGTTGCGTACAAAAAAACACAACAAAATAAAAATCTGCCCACCTGGCGATAACGGATCTCTCACCATTAATTTGAAAGTTTTGAAATATCACTAGACAATCAGCTGTCTTGTATTTTGATTTTATAATTGCACCATTAATACAATACTTACGTTTGGAAAGGCTTTGTAGAACCGCACATCACTTAAGGCCTGATTTAGGACATACTTATCTAAAACCAACATTAGCCTTCATCAATAACAAATTGAATACACGCTAGTTAATACAAACTTACACCTGAAGACATCGTAGATCAAAGAATACACTCTCCTCATTTCCTGTTCATCTTCAAATGAGGTTTCCTTCGGAGGGCAACATAGTAGACATCCAGCTTTTGCTATGTCACTCACAGTCCAAGTGATTGGGGGCTTGCTTGGCCTTTTTGGCTTCTTTTTTACTCTGTCCGATAGGGCTTCGCAAATTACCTATATGCAGGATGTTTCAGAAAAACGTGCCAATATTTCTGGGGTAGAAAGTACATAAAAAGTTACTATAAATGAAGTTTTATTTACGAAATTTAAAAAAATTATATTTAAAGATATGGAGCTGGGATTTTAGACGTAAAAACTGGGCTACTTGGACCCCTAATAGGAAATATTTTCTACCATTCAATCTTCCATAAATGTTGTACCTTGAGGAGTTTTTGTCAGATTACTCGTTTCGAAGATATCTAGGTTTGATTATTTGGGGTGAAATCCTAAAATATTCTTATGAAAAGGTTTTTTGTACGTCTCCATGAAACTTTTTGTAATTATTTAAGAGGGGGAGGGGATTAGGATCGACTATATTAATCGACTATACAGGGTGACTTTGAAGTTGAGTCATTAATTTTCAGATAATGATTGTAGAAGGAAAATAAACCAAAATATGTGTGTAAAAATAAAAAAAAAATTACCTTGTTTTATAAAGTATCCTCCCGACAAGTATTTCAGTGCGGACCTGTATTTGATCGTGAGGTCTTGGAGCACCGGCATGCCGTCCCCTGTGAGGTCTTAAGTCACCTGATTCACGAGCCCGTTGTACTACATTAACAAAGGCACGAGGGGTTGGTTGCACTCGATTGGGAAACCGATCCCCATAAACATGTGCCATTTTTTATTTCGTTTGAGCCACGCAACAGACACCACTATTCACTTACGCGTTACCGACTGACACTGACTGTATACAACTGAATAAAATAATTGTAAAAACATCGTTCCAAATTCTTTCGCTTTTTTGTTTCCGATGCGATGAACCGATAAGGCGAATTATATCCGTTGTTGCCAAACACGAACACATAATATTATTATTGAGACAGGGCGGTACTCAAACTTCCAAAGGGCTATAACTTTGTTACTTTAATTTTACCAGAAAAATGGTAAAGGAAAAAAACATTTCTTTTGATCAGATCTACTCACTGTTAAAATAAATGACTCAACTTCGAAGTCACCCTGTATTAAGCGGTGATCGATTGTTTCGATTTGGTAGGAATTGGTAGGAGTTGGAAATTTGTCGTATGACGTCGTCGCGGTTTTTCCGGTTTTTTTCCCGGTTCGCGAAACGTTCGAAGGGAAAGCCGTACCGTTTCGGAAACTAGAAAGTCGGCGCTTTACTGGGGAGCGAGAGCCGGTGCGGTAAGAGGAACGAATCGGATCGAAAACGGCCGGTAAAGTCGAAAAATCGGCGGTTTTTCGCGCGGTACGCGGAGTTATTTCACACTCGTCGACTATATTAACGAGTGATCTTTTGTTTTATTTTGACCTCCCCTCCGGAGTCTGGATCGGGGCGTTTCGACGTCGGCGCGGTTTTTCCGGTTTTTCCGCGATCGCGAAAGGTTTTAACGGAAAGCGATACCGTTTCGGAAACTAGTTACTCGGGCAAGTAAGAACCGTCGATGGTAGATTTTCGTGCTGTTCGATATTCAACTTCTATCTCCTCCAAAGATAACCGAGATACGGACCTGGCGACTTTTGCATAAGAAAGCCCGTAATCCGGACTCAAAGATGAAAGTATTTTCATCCTCAATATGAAACTTTGACTTCTTCTCAGTTGATATCCGTTCCTAAAGTGCGGTGCACACTCAACTCCATCCAGCGCCTGGTCTATGTTAAAAATATAAAAGGTTACCTGTTTAGGTCTGTTGATCAGATTCCATTCGTGTAGCTTAGGTTTCTCGTCCTCGTACATAAGCTGGTCATACATAATTCTGAAATATAAACAGTTACTGGGAGAGGGTTTTTCGTATTTTTAAAGAAATTATGACATCATCGGTTGAATTTTGAATTGACATTACGGGAATGACACTAATACGCCACCAGGCGAAGTCTTCGACTATAGCTAGGTAAGATTCATGCTTATAGTCCAGGAAATATTCACTTGACGTTTAGAAAAAATTGTGTATTTTCGAAAATGTTAAGGCAGAATATCAAGATTTTGCATATTAAAAAAGGGGAAACTTGCTCCCAAAAGTCATGCTTAAAATTTTGCGATAAAGTTAGCTCCTTCTGTATTTAAAACGAAATCTTTCTCGTACATAAGCTGGTCATACATAATCCTGAAATATAAACATTTACTGGGAGAGGGTTTTTCGTATTTTTAAAGAAATTAGGACATCATCGGTTGAATTTTGAATTGACATTACGGGAATGACACTAATACGCCACCAGGCGAAGTCTTCGACTATAGCTAGGTAAGATTCATGCTTATAGTCCAGGAAATATTCACTTGAAGTTTACAAAAAAATTGCGTATTTTCGAAAATGTTAAGGCAGAATATCAATATTTTGCATATTAAAAAAGGTGAAACTTGCTCCCAAAAGTCATGCTTAAAATTTTGCGATAAAGTTAACACCTTCTGTATTTAAAACGAGATCTTACCACTTCTGCTATGAAGGTTAATGTTCAAATGCTTCAAATTTGCTGGCAGCATGCCCTGTAGGGCTCCACGTTTTGAAATGTACGTATAGGTACTAAATTTCTCCGCAGAAAATTTTTATGATCCCATATTTTATCTCAAAATTGTCATCGTTTGATTTCTATTTCACAAGCTTTTTTCGATGTAAAGGGTTATAATTGAGTTTGTACTGGTTTTAGAGTTGTATTTGAGACAAGAATCCATCACATATTATAAGCACACATCCTCACTATACATCGCCGTTTCCTTCTAGCTATAGTGAACAAATTACAGCTTAGACCTCGAATATTGCCATCTCTGAGGCAGATTTTACATCACATCAGAGCCAAACATTGATAATTGAAAAATCATGACGTATAGACAACACGTACAACTACAAAACGAGTTTACAACGTGTCCGTCAGCTAGTGCTAAGTTAACAACATCTTGTATAAGACCTACATAATGTCACAAAAAAACAAATCAATGTCAAAAAGATCGACATAATGTCACTTTTCGAGATACGTAATGTGCAGGTCTGCCTACAATCTATACTTACAACATAAACCTATTTCCACTTTTAAAATACCTGTGATAGGCCTGTCATTTTTCAGTCAGCTTCCTAACCTTTGTTCCGACTGGAAATAGGGTCATGACGATGGTCAGATCCAACCATACTGATAAATTCAAGTATGTCTTGCCAAATCACCGCGAAATCGAGTAAGCAATGTGGGAACCCTTCGACCCAGACCAACAGTACGAAGACTTTGGAGGAATTTCGGAAAATTGTGATGCGACTTATCGTCAAGAACAGACTGGCAGCCAAGTACAAGAAAAGAAACCACAACCGTGGTTCTATTCAATATTTGACACAGTAAAAAGGTACGTTAACAGATGTTTCAAGGAATCGGATTTCGTTTTACGCTATTTCTTGACTATGTCCGAAAAGCTTCGGTCTTTAATGACATAGAAAATGCAACACCGACACTATACTACAACTATTTAAAACTGTAATGACTCATACGCGTGATCAACACGTGATCGGAGCTCGATGCCGGCTTCCTTCCAGTACAGCCGTATAGCGTACGACATATGTCGTTTCTGTGGCTTTGCGGTGGTCAACAGCACAGACAGAGATGGAAATAATGGCTGATTGTTCTCCGCCGGTAGAACCAATGAAATCAAAGACGCGCCTCGACCGGCAGCCTCATAGGCGTCCGCAACGCATTGGAACGTGTTTCGTTGAGCGATCGCATATTGTGTGTTTTTATAAGAATTGTTGTATGATTGTTATTGTTGTGGTTTCTGTGGTTACTGTTTTGGTTATACTTAACCATGGAGAGTACAAATGGCACGAGTGGAAGTACTGAAAGCCAGGGAAAAAGTAGACGGCTTCGTAAAGCACTGAAGAGGGACGCGAAAGAAATCGTTCTCAACGTGTTCAATTATCTGAACAGAACTATGTCGCAGGGAGATGCACTCGCGCGTTGTGAAAGTATGACAGGCGTTCCATAGTGGACCATTCGCAGGGTGGTGCATGAAAAGAAGAAAACTGGAGCTACTACTGATCCAAAGTTAAATTTGAAGGGACGAAAGGCCGTTAAATTGGATGACGATAGCAAAATGGCGTTAAGGCGAACCGTACATTCATTCTTCTTTAGGAATGAGATACCAACCCTCAAGGCTGTACATGCAGCGATCAAGGAAAATGAAATTATACCCCAAATGAGCGTCGAGGTAATGAGGAATCAGTACTGATAGAGAGACCTGAAATAGTGGCCTGGCGTCGAAAATACCTACGCGAAATGATTGAATATAGGCGACAAAGCAGAAAAATCTATTATTTGGACGAGACATGGGTAAATGCAGGTCACACAGTTAAAAAAACCTGAATAGGCAAAAACGTAGTGAGTAACCGACAAGCAAGCATTGAAGATTTGTCAACAGGTCTTCGTGGACCGTCAGGGAAAGGTCAAAGATTGATCGTAACTCATATTGGTAGCGATAGTGGCTTTTTAGAAGAGTGTGACTTGATTTTCGTCTCTAAGAAAGGAGGAGATTACCATGACGAAATGAATGCCAGCTGCTTCGAGAGCTGGTTTCAAGGGTTGCTTCAGCGAGTTGAGCCCAACTCTGTGATCGTCATAGATAATGCTTCCTACCATAGTCGTCGAGCCGAACGTGTACCGACTATGGGATCTCGAAAAAGTGACATGCAGCAATGGTTGCGCGAAAAAGGAATCCCGTTTGACGATTCATGTGTGAAAGCGGAATTGTATGAAAAAATTAAACAGCACAAACCTGCAAACATTAGTTACGTGACTGATGAGATGGCCCGTCAATGTGGTGTCACTGCGCTGCGGTTACCGCCCTACCACGGTGAACTGAACCCAATGGAGCTCATCTGGGCTCAAGTGAAGGGTTATATTGCGCGCCATAACACAACCTTCAAATTACCAGACGTTAAGGTTTTACTTGAGACTTCCATACAGCTAGTAACGCCCGAAGCTTGGCAGAATGCTATCCGTCATGTTGTGAAGGAAGAAACAAAAATGTGGCAGCTTGACCACCACATCGACACCATCATAGAGCCAGTTATAGTCAATTTCAACGAGGAAAGCGATAACGACAGTTTATTACTGTCAGATGTAAGTGGAAGCGACGACGAATAAAGGTAATTCCTAAATTTTTGACTTACAATATGTTTCAAACCACTCTTTATTAAGCATGTGACAAATCTAGTTCACCCATGTTAAACATTCATACCCCGCCTATGAACAGCCGACTACTGGTAGTTAAGTGATGTTCACGTGAACATCGATGAGTCATTGCAGTTTTAGATAGTTATAGTATAGGAGCGCTGTCATTTTGCATACTTTTACACGTTTTAGCACTACTGATAAATAGAAAGTGATTAAAATGTTAATAATATGTTCAAGCTCATCTATTCGATAGACATTGTTCTTGGTGTATTGTAAGCCAAGCCATCTGGATTTGGTTTCGCAAAGTCTCCAATTTCAGTAAAAAAAGCATGTTAGAAAAAACTGATTAATTGGCTTTTAAAATTAAAATATTCTTCAAGGTACAAAAAGGAAATTTTCGGTGAAGATTCAAGAACAAAAATACGTAAAGAAAGGCTTAGGGATTGCTCAGTACCCACCAACTACAAATTCGTCTACGCTAGGTATCCAGACAACACTTATAGACCAGGCTCAATAGTTGGCAGAAACAAAAAATTACACATCTTTATTGTCTATTTTTACCACAACAAGAGGTGTCTTTCCGTGAAGCCGGGAGACGTGATCCTGAAGCATGGCAATCTGTTAGATAGAAAAGTATGTTTCGTTCATCAAGGCAAAGTGAAGACTGGAACGGTTTTTGGAAATAATTCTCCAGCGAACCACGGGTTTCCTTCGAAATTTTTTATAAGAAGAAGAGGAGAATGGTTTACGATTAGTTATAAAGATGTGTATATAACGAAAAAGCAAATGCTGCCGATGTACTTTATGTTGCCTACAGAGATCAAGGCCGAGGACAACGAGCTGGAGAAGAACGCACCTAATCAGATGTTTCCTGGTTGAAACTACGTTTTTGTGACCTGTGAAACCAATAAATTGTCTTGAATTTCATCCATCGCATTCACTTTCACACATGGAAGCAAAGGGATTTTTAAACGGATAAGGGCAGAATCGTCAGAGCTGGGACAATCCTCACAATTTGATCGACATGTCGTGTTTTTGCATTTTTAAACATGCTTTTCTGAACTGTAAATGGAATTTTTAACATAACCTCTCTCTTACAAATGTGGTTTTAGGTATGATCTGGTAGCACGCCATTTCATATCTAAAAGTGGCGAGTATACACGGAAAAAACTGCTTTAAATTTATGACTTGTATATCGGACAAACTGAGGACCGACCGAACTCCAATACGAGGTCCGTATATTGAAACGCAAAGTGAAGACCTTTCAGGATATATTCTCACTTAGCGCATACAGAGTGAGGACCGTACAGGGTTGCCTACGTCAACTGGTTTTTCTCAAAGTTCACTTTGTTTGACACGTAGCTGAGATGCCGGCAATAGGAAGAGAGAGAGAGAGAGAGAGAGAAAGGCATACGCCAACATGCCAACAAAATGACGTCAAGTAGGTTGACTCGTTCGGGAATCACGATATTCAGCGGATTAGGATACGTTTCGTGAGCATATGTGAAATGTGGTCCACTCAGGAGCGTGAAACACCCCACCATGCAACATTAAAATGACGTCAAGTAGGTTGACTCACTCTAGGAATAACGTGATTGGGCGAATTAGGATACATTTCGTGAGCGACTGCGAAATGTAATGCATGCGGGAGAGTGAAACTTTCCAACATGCAATATTTAAAAAACGTGAAGTAGGTTGACTCGTTCTGGGATCACGATATTGGGCGGACCAGGATACATTTCGTCAGCGTCTACGAAATGCGGTCCATGCAGGAGTGTGGAACAGCCTACCAAGTAGCAATAAAATCACGTCAAGTAGGCTGACCCATTAGGAGAATAATGTAAATAGGCGCATTTCGTGAGCGTCTACGAAGTGTGGTCCGTGCAGGAGTGCAAAAAATCCCACCATGCAGCATTAAAATCATGTCAAGTAGGTTGAGTCGTTCAGAGAATAACGATATTTGGCGAATTAGGATACATTTCGCGGGCGTCTGCAAAATGTGGACTAAGTAGGACATTGAAACACTCCAACAACTCCATGCAACAAAAAATGACGTCAAGTGAATTGACTCGTCAAGGGCATTCCCTTCGTCTTTACGTTATAGGTTGAAATAACTGAATGGTACCACAGTAAAATGGAAGTCTTAAGTTATCAAATGACACTGATCGAGATGCTTTTCACTATAATCTTTCCTGTGTGCAAAAGCAACTTTTGGTTTTTAGTAATGGATACCGCATACTGTTAACTTTGAGAGTAAACGCTAATATATTTTTATGACAATCCGAAAGTTTTCCTCGAATCAGGTAAATACAAAAGCATTGTAAGACAGCGAGAAATAGGAAATAAAGTCCCTCAATCGTTTGCCCTGACGAGAGTTTGAATGAATTCTAGTGTCTAAGTATCTGAGAAAAATACATACCGCATTTTCCTGGAACTTGCTGTATTTTTGGAATAGCAATTATCGGTATAGCACATATACGCCCAAGTAATCGTTTTATTTTGAGCGAACACATTTTTGAATCCGAATCTGTTTAGGATCGATTCCACTTTAGTTCGAAATGAAAGGTCAGGTTCGCCACAAAGTCTGAAACTTTGCGTCGTTGGTTCGCTTGGCAACGCCGCATCTCGTACATTCTAAGGCAACGTTTCCACCTCCATGATCATAGATGAGCGATTTTGGTCAGTACCCGTCTAGCGCTATCGCAAAATGTAACAATAACTCAGGATGTGATGATACCTTCTCGCGCTTTTCTCTCGTACACACTGAACTAAGCCGTCAGACGAATTTGGTGTTCCCTGTATTATAACATTCTTCTATACCCACTAGCTTGTGTGATACGAGAATGTCAAGTGATGTTGGCCACCCTGTACCTCTACTATTGTCTAGTTATTGGCCTAGCAAAATGCGGAATAACCGCTGATCCGTTTTCGCAACTAGGTCAAGTTTCAAATTGGAATAATATCGGCATCTATCATGTCAGCAGGCTATCACTCACCGCGCGTCATGCCATTTGTACACCTCATATGCTTACGTTTCCAACCTTTTGCAGAATCTAGTTTAACAGAAAAAATTAGCTATTTTTATACAGCATTATAAACGTCGACATGCCTGCAAACTTTTTCAAGTTTTCCATCTGATATTGCATTCGCTGTCAGCCGGTATGAAAACTAAATTTGCCCTGAAAAAATCGTAACACGCGAGCTTAGCGCAAGGCTTGTAATTTCCAGGTGAATGCATTTTTCTGACATTTGAAGTGCGGTATAATAACTAAAGTACCGACGTGATTCTCGTTTTAACTACAAGTACTTATTTATTCCAACGTGATTGTTGCTTTCATATTGAAGGAATATGTACAGTGTGTCCCATTTTCGATGATACTACGGGGTATCTCACTTAGTAGTGAAGATAGAGAGCTACGGTGTTTGCAATACTGTGCGTTTTTTGTGAAAATAAAGATGGTATAACCTAAATTTTCATAGCCCACTTTGTTTCTGAGAGACAGGGCGAAATGGAAAATATTGCAGTACTGATAAGGACGTTGCGTGGGAAGCGCATAGTCAACCTACTCGACGCCATCTTCGTCGTCATCGTTTACTCTAAACTTACATGTTTCCATCTTTGCCAAGGATCTTTGTTTTCCACCAGCTTAAAATAACACTTGTCGCTCGACGTTATCATCACGGGGCCGGATAATAACGAGTGCCCCCTCCTCAGAAACGATTTCCATACTTTTTGTAGTATTACTTTCTCCTAACTCACCTATCCTCATCTTCCTACTCTCTACTTTCTCTTTTTCTCTATCTACATAAGTATCTTCGTCGTCATTATATTTTCCTCTAAACTTTTCAGTCTTCATCTTCCTCATCTTTATTCCTCTCTGCCAAAGCCCTTTGTGTTTCCACAAATGTATAGTAGCATTCGTCTCTCCACGCTACCAAACTGTTTTCATATGCTTCCTCTACTACTACTGTCCTCTAAACTTACCTTCCTCCTCTCTACTTCTACTGTTTCTCTATCTACCTATCTTCATCATTATCTTTTCCTCTAAACTTACCTGTCTTCATCTTCCTCGTCTTCATTCCTCTCTGCCAAAGCCCTTTGTTTTTCCACCAGTTTATAATAACACTTGTCCCTCCACGTATCATCGCTGGGCAGGATAATGTCGAATGCGCCCTCTTCGAAGACGGCTTCCATATCCTCCGTGTCCTGGAGGATATGGCGAAGCCCGGCGAACAGGTCGCCCTCACCAAACGCAGTCAATTGCACCCATAACCGGTTGCTGCTTGTATCTGACGATATCGAAACAAGCGATATATGGAATTATCTATTTCTAGGATAAAGTTATAGGGTAGAGTCACATGGATTTGGAACGCATCTTAGCAGTTTCCAGGCTTTCAGTAGTGGAAGCATCTCGAACCATCTTTTATACTTCGTAGGAAACGTTGTATATGTCATTTTATACAGGGTGATTTCGAAGTTGAGTCATTTATTTTAACAGTGAGTAGATCTGATCAAAAGAAATGTTTTTTCCTTTACCATTTTTCTGGTAAAATTAAAGTAACAAAGTTATAGCCCTTTGGAAGTTTGAGTACCGCCCTGTCTCAATAATAATATTATGTGCTCGTGTTTGGCAACAACGGATATAATCCGCCTTATCGGTTCATCGCATCGGAAACAAAAAAGCGAAAGAATTTGGAACGATGTTTTTACAATTATTTTATTCAGTTGTATACAGTCAGTGTCAGTCGGTAACGCGTGAGTGAATAGTGGTGTCTGTTGCGTGGCTCAAACGAAATAAAAAATGGCACATGTTTACGAAAATGCTGAACTTGTGGACTTGATTCTTATTTATCATCATCACGGATTAATGCGGATCGGTTTCCCAATCGAGTGCAACCAACCCCTCGTGCCTTTGTTAATCTAGTACAATGGGCACGTGAATCAGGTGACTTAAGACCTCACAGGGGAGGGCATGCCGGTGCTCCAAGACCGCACGATCAAATATAGGTCCGCACTGAATACTTGTCGGGAGGATACTTTATAAAACAAGGTAACATTTTTTTTTAATTTTTTTTTTATTTTTACACACATATTTTGGTTTATCTTCCTTCTACAATCATTATCTGAAAATTAATGACTCAACTTCAAAGTCACCCTGTATACAGGGTGTAAACGCTATTGTAGTGTAGTGGGTCAAAAAGTTCATATGACCCATGGTCCAAAAGTCAATAGATTTTTGTCTAAATGGCTTTATAGTTTACAACGTTAAGTGCTTCATATAGACCACAATCACCACAACCTTACTAATTTTTATAATCTAATCTAAAACGTTTTTAACTTGGGTAATTAACAAATAAATGGCATTAAGTTAAGCCAAAATTTGTAGTGAGTAAGTAAGTTTCATTAAATTAAATATTTAAAACACGCATGGCAACAGCGCGTCGATCTTTCATCACCGTTATCGAACCGGCACTCGATCGCAAACGGTAACAGTAGTTAGTTTTCGGGCATCGGGCGCGTCGTTTTTGTTCGCGTACGTCGTCGTGTTTATTTACAATGTTCTTGAATCAAGAGTTCTCCGACATGTTGTTAGTTTACGGTGAAGCTCGTCAGAAATCAAATCTTGCAGCTCAAATTTATCGCGACAACGGGTACACCCAGTCAGAAGGACACTTGTGCAAGTGTACCAAAGACTTCGAGATACAGGAAGTGTTCAGGCCACTAATATACGCACTCGTGAATGTTCCAGCCTGTCTACTGTAAAGCAGGAGGAACAAATTTTAAATATCGTGGAAATCAATGCAGATATCAGCACTCGGGAATTAGACCGGCGCGTAGGACTATCGCTTTATCCTTATCATGTACAAAGAGTACAGGCCTTGTTACCAGAGGACTATTTTCGCAGACTAACATTCTGTCAGTGGTTTTTGCACAAAAGCATTGAAAATCCGGATCCGCGAGACGGGATATTAAATTTCCTTAATACTCACAGGTGGGCTTAAGAAAATCCTCATACCACTCGTGAAGGTGGTAAATGAAGCTTGTGTGGAAAGTGGACCCATTTAAATAATGACTATCATAACGTTTTCACCCTGTATAATAAATGGTAGGATATTTTCGCAGAGTTTCGCAAATAACAATTTGTGTCAAGCGAGCGAGGCTAGTGATGCAAGATTTGTTGATGGATCGACAAAGTTTCTTTCGTTCCGTCAAAAATGAACATGTAAAATATCATTTCAAACAACTTTGCAAAATTTCAAGATCCAGTCCAGGCTATAGTTATTAATTAGGAAATCGCTACTAGTCTTCGGCTTGCCATATTGGATGCCTGCGTGTGGAGTGCTGTCATCCGCAAAGCTGTGGATCGGATCGATCGTATCTATTTCAATTACGGATTTTTCAAATCAGAACGAAGCATATAGGTATGTGCTAACAACATACATTATTGAGATGTAGTTCTTCAGTATTGTTAATCACAGTTTTATACACTAAACGTTTCATTTCGCCCCAAATAAATCGATCGAACGATCTGACGTCACTCGCGAAGCATCGGTTACACTCACCGTAAATTAAAATAATATGGACAACTCCAACGACATATATGGTTGAGACTAGCTACAGTAATCAATTCTCGATCTAAGAAAATGACAGCGGGAAGTCTGGCAACGCTGTGCCCTACCCGTGTGCTGTTGCCAGCCTGGCTCACTTCCGTCTCAGATAATGGTCGCCAAACAAATTTAAACAATATTCGCGCAAAGTCTTCATTTGCTCATTTTTCGAAAACAAGTTCGTATCTAAAATCAGCAGTGCTCGATCGTCGTTGGTTGGCGCATAATTTAATCTAAGCAGCATAGATTAAATTTCTAGAACGATAAGATTGTTCACAAATACGTTGTGCCCTCCTCATATATGCTCTATCATGTATCACGCGAATACTAATCACAGAAACATCGATATGCATAACTTTCTGCTATCTAATGATAGTACAGATTTATGGCTTTTGAAACTTTGTATTACAATACGAAATACCACTGTAACCATCACGACAACGTCTCGTTTCAGCTCTAACGATCTCTTTTTACAAGTGGTTCGATTTGTAACATGGAGGATTGTTGCACAAAATCATACAAACATAAAGTTATTTTGAGTCCGGAAGTCATTACTTCTTATTTTTTTAATTATGACGTGTACATCACAAAAGTCATGTCACTCATTTCTGACTGTCCGCTGATTTTATAACCGTCTATAAATTGACAAGTACCGCTCGATTTTTGATGAAATTTTCACACAATTAAACTGGTCTGCGGTGGTGTCGTCACTGGCACACCGCTACAGGGGAAATATATATACAGGGTGTTTCAGTTTATTGTTGCATAACTTTAAGATTCGACGGAACCTTTAAAATTAATGCATAAAGTCTATATAAACATGGGTGTTTAAATTTACTTTCTAAAATAGTTTTTTTTAAATATTTCGAACAATATTTGATGTATAACAGTGAAAATTGATATGCAAGCGTTTTTTGGAACGACAAAACGAACCATGGGCATGGTTTTTCTGTAGCCGCTAGAGGGCGCTCTCTACTGTACCTGTAGTCTATTAAAATGACCGAAAATTTTTTCCTAGTGCAATTTTTTGCTTTTTGAATAAGAAAACTGATTCTTCGCACTTTTCAACATAAAAAAGCTCTCCTGTGAGTTTTCGTTATAGTTAGCCGTTTTGAGATATTTCGATTTTTAAGGTTCGATGCATTTTTAATTATTTATGGGAAAATAATATTTTTTTTTAACATTTTCGATTTGGGCATTACAAGTAATTAAGATGATCGTTTAGATTGTGTTTTTAAACACAGCAATTATTCCTAACTCCAAATAAACACAAAAAAACAGAATATTAATTTGTTTAATTTTCCAATATTATTTTTAACAAATTAAATTAATTATTTACAACTAAAATGCTATTGGATAGATAGGACAAACATACAAAATCTAAAGTAGTTGCTCGAAATGTAAACCCAATTGTTCAATAAACAATTCACATCTACGAATGATCGAACGTGGTATAGCATTATTCAAATAAGGCCTTATTTCATCACATGCCTTCCTGATTCTGTCTATTAGCATATCTCTTGTGGTTACGGGAGTCTGGTACACTTTTTCTTTTAGAAATCCCCACACAAAGAAATCTAATGGATTTAGGTCAGGGGATCGTGGAGGCCAGGCGACTGGTCCTCCACGGCCGATCCATCTTTCTGGTTAATTTTCGTCCAGCCAGTTTCTAACTATCCTCGAATAATGAGCTGGACAACCAACAAGCTGGAACCAGGCCAATCTTCTTAAATCCATAACATCACCCCACATATTTGCATGTTCAGCCTTTAAAAATTCCAAGAAGGTCGCAGCATTTAACCTTGCAGGCAAAAGGTAGGGTCCAAATAGTCGATTACGGTAGATACCAATCCACACGTTCACACTAAATTCATGCTGAAAATTTCTTTCCCGAACTGCATGCGGATTTTCATGCGACCAAATATGATGATTATACAAATTTACCACTCCACGTCTAGTGAAGCATGACTCATCGGTCCATAAAACGTTACTTAAAAACTCCCTATTATTATAAGTTCTATCAAGAATCCACTGACGAAATGTGATTCTTCGTTCTCCGTCCCCTGGCTGTAGTCCTTGCACAGGTGGCAAATGGTAAGGACGTCTATGGTCATTTCTAAGAACACGATGAACATGGCTTGCTGAAATTCCCAAGGCACCAGAAACTCTCCTAACACTTGTGGTCGGATCTCTATCAAACTCACGCAGAATCATACGGGTAAATCTGCGCTGACGAACATTTATGTTTTGATCCCTTTGGAGATTTCCAAAACCATTTTCAATTATTTGGCGATGCACTCTTGCAAATACTGAGCCAGTTGGATGTCGTCTGTTTGGAAATCTTCGTGCGTATTCTCTGGCTGCTTCTGCTGCGTTTCCATTTACAAAGCCATACACAAAATGAATATCCGCTAACTCTTGATTGGAGAATAAAAATGGCATTTTTATAAAACTTACGAAAAAAAAAAACAGGTGAAAGAAACTAAATTTCGTGCATTCACAATTGCAAAAAAACGTTTCAGGTTTCAACAGAGAACAAAACTAACTGTCAACTAATTGACGTTTAACCTTATTCTGCTTTCAATTTCAAAAATATTCGCAGGCACAGCCTACTTCTAAAAATTATCGAGATACTGACTTTTTAAAGTTATTTTATCATAAATAATTAAACATGCATCGAACCTTGAAAATCGAAATATCTCAAAAACGGCTAACTATAACGAAAACTCACAAGAGAGCTTTTTTATGTTGAAAAGTGCGAAGAATCAGTTTTTTTATTCAAAAAGCAAAAAATTGCACTAAGAAAAAATTTTCGGTCATTTTAATACACTACAGGTACAGTAGAGAGCGCCCTCTAGCGGCTACAGTAAAACTATGCCCATGGTTCGTTTTGGCGTACCAAAAAACCCTTGTATACCAATTTTCACTGTTATACATCAAATATTGTTCGAAATATTTAAAAAAAACTATTTTAGAAAGTAAATTAAACACCCTGTATTTCGGAAGCCACGCATTTTTCGACCCATGTTTATATAGACTTTATGCATTAATTTTAAAAGTTCTATCGAATCTTAAAGTTATGCAAAAATAAACTGAAACACCCTGTATATTAGCAATACTTGGATATTGCGAGTATGTACCACTTTATCGTTCTGCGATGCTTCTGTAAATGGTGACTCGACTGTTTTTAGAACTACATACATACATATATTTTTCTAAATTGAATGTGCACCACCTTTGATTTGTGTCACTCCGTCTTCGATTGGTTCTCTGAATATTCAAGTAGATTGACTCAGTACTTATGACGCATCAATATACAACAGGCACGGTCTGATACATCGACGGAATAAGTTTCAGAACCTCTGTTTTATGCGATTTACATTCGACAGCAGATGTATGCACATATAGATACATTCGCCGTACACAAGAGATAGCATCGCGAAAACCCTCGTTTAAACGTGGTTCTACCACGCGAGAAACAAATACAATCAAGGTTAAAGTTCACGTTCTACTTCAGCTGTATCAAGTATCCCATAAATCACTCGTGAAATGGAATTTCTGAAATATTCGGAATATGATACCTACATCGATTTGAATAAATTAGCAGTTGTGATTTGCGATGAAATTGGTTTTGATTAATATACATCCCCATGACCTTAGTACTAAAATGCTGTTATTGGGGAAGGGGCAGGAATGTGTTATTGATTTTGAAACAAGGACTTATTTTAATCAGGATATATTAATTTATATTTGTACGGTTTTGCATTTTGTTATAGTTTGTTATAGCCGCGAGATGTTATGGGACAAGGCATGTCACTTATTTCCATCTGTCTGTCGGTCCGTCCGCAAATCTTTGGCCCGTCCATAACTTGAAAAGTACTGCTCGGATTTTTATGAAATTTTCACAAAAGAATACTGCTGTACCAAGGACGTTGACGGTTTTTAGTTTTTGTACAGTGGTGCCGGAAAAAATGGAAAAAAAATCGCTCTAACATCGTTTTTAACGTCTTGTAGGATCCTGATCTGTTTTGAAACATTTTTAAACGTAAATATACTAAGTGACATATAAATCCGAACACCCAGTTTAAATGGTTTTGTTTTAATAAAATTTTGTATAAGTACTTAATGAAGCATAATAAGTAAATGATAAAAATTTTGAAATGATTGCGCTGCTTTAAAGCCCTTTGACCTTTAATAATGTGTGGATGCACCCTGATGTGCTACGCATTCTCCAACGCGCCTAGGCTTGCTTCTGATCAGGTGGTCAATGTCCTCCTGTGGTATATCATTCCAGGCACCTCTCGAAGTGCTTCTAGAGTCTGAGGAGGACGTTGCAAATTGAGCAATCTCCTACCCTTCATATCCCACACGTGCTCAATTGGGGATAAGTCGGGAGATCTTGGTGGCCATGGTAACAATGTGACATCATTATGTTGAAAGAAGTCTATTGTGACTCTTGCAACATGTGGTCGGGCATTATCTTGTTGGAAAGTTGGATCTGCCAGGGTGTCAAGATAGGATAAAAGATGGGGTTCTAGAACTTCGTGGATACAACGCTGCGCGTTCATGTTACCTCTGATGAAGATTAAAGGTGACCTGGAACCATAAGCTATAGCACCCCAAACCATAACTCCAACAGTGTGATGAATATGTTTTTCAACAAAAAACTGTGGATTCCTCCTTTCACCACGTCGCCTTCTAACCCTGGCACGACCATCGTGCATGCCTAAACAAAATCGAGACTCGTCACTAAAGACAATACTGTTCCATTCCTATTCCCACAGTGACCGTTGTCTGCACCACTCAAGGCGATTACGTCGGTGTTCTCGAGTTAAAGGGAGAGGACCCAGTGTGGCCGGTATGAAAACAAGCCAAAACTTCTCATTCGTCGGTAAACACTTCGCATGCCAATAGGCCTTCCGTGTTCTGCAAACCATTCATTTGCAATGGACCTGGTAGTGGAGAAACGGTCCCTTAAGGTCAATAATCTTAGGCGGCGATCTTCACGGTCTGTTGTTCTACGGCGGCGTCCAGTGCCCCTTGCTCT